ATGAAATCACAAATCCGCTTTGAAGCAATTATTGTAACCTAAATACTTTTACATATCCGTGTGAGAAAGACGTCTTTGGTCAGCTGTGGGCACTTAATGGGCTGATGATGACAAATGACAATGATGAAAATAATATTATCATCATGAGGAAAGGAAAGGAAAATATCAATATAAGTATTTAGGTATCACCGCGCTTGCATCAACGGCCGGTCTGGAACTCAATTCAACTGATTGTTTAACTGTGATTGTGTGAGTTCTTAGCCTAGACTTATAAATAAACACACAAGGAAAACTATTTTCTTTTAAACCAAGTTCATTGTTCAGTAATAAGTCCTTCACAATAAGCATCGACACAGATACTTCAATCATAATAGTTTAGGTCTATTGCATCTCAATTGAAATGTATTTTATGTCACATTAGGCACAGCCAACAGCTGAAGCTGACTCGATCATTTTAGTACCATATTTTTGAGTAACAAGAGGTCATGGTTACATGGGATGAATTCGATTTAGTGATGAATAGCCTTTTCGGTTTACTCACATAATAATTATGATTAATTAATTAATGAGCAAGTGCAAACACGCACTGAAAAAGTTAAGACTAATCAATATAGTTCGTCATTCCAGAAAATCAACAAAAAATTATTTCTCCACCTACTAATGTTACACCCGCTGTTGATTTCATAGTATATTCATGTTTACCGCTGCTTACCCCTTGAAAAAGTCCTAACGTCCTAGGTCCTCAAATTCTAGCATCTATCTGGTTAGTGTGCGCCAATCCTTTCAATTCTATAGTATATAAATCATCTCGGCCGCTGAGAACCAATGTGACCTATATACGCACACAGGTGGGAGTTAGGTATAAACTGCACTTGCGCACACAAGGTCTGCCATCAATCAATATAGCGCATATCAGCCCCGGGCGAAGCTACTCGAATCTCGCTCACCGCCCCACCCGGCACTAAGAGCCGAGGAGCGGACCTTGTCGGACGGGAGCCCACTTCTGCAGTTCTAAGTAAACAAGTAAGTGCCTAACTTAGGCTTAGGGCTTCTATACTTCATTGTGTTACCTACGCTCTAATAATCAAGTGTTTTTGTTGTGAAATTATTAAAAAAATCTTGTGTTTCTTTGTCGTATGTGGTTAGTCCAGTCAAGGTCGTGTAGGGTGTTGTATACCCATTGAGTGTCCCCGTTTAAGTAAAGATAAGCAACCAGCTCAGCTCTTTTCTCTTTTGCCCCTGCAAAGTGGTGCCAGGCGCTATACTTATATGCGACTTATAGTGAACAGTGTTCTTTCTGGTGACTTCAGATACATCTACTCATCATGTCGGTGGTGGCGCTGGGGATGCGTCGCAAGGCAGGGAGCCTGTCTCCTACTATGGACGTGGAGATGTCGCAGAGGCCGGTCGACACCACGCTGTGGTGCGTCTGCGAGGTGTGCGGTCTCCGCATCCACCCGCTGCTGCGCACCAACAACACCCCCACCAATGTCAAGAAACCATCGAACTAAATGCTACGCGTTTAGGCAAAATATTCGCTATAATTTTCACTTCACTCTTCGACCCCTAGATTGTCCCATGAAATGAATGAATTATATTATATCAACCTTCCTTAGATGTCCTACTCTATCAATTAAACCCTCTTTAGTTCAATAATGGTGTTTTATTTATACTCATGGTATCGATTTCTTGCACACACCTACACATCCACAACCCACACCCTGGCACACACGTAAGTAGGACAAAGGGGACATAGACCTACACATATAGAAGCACTGAATGAATCCTAGGTACTTAGGCGCCTATGCACAACCATTAAGATCAATTTATTGAAATCTTCATTTAATAGAACCCAAATTCCAAGAAGTATTTAACAACCACATTTAAGATAATAGGTACAATACATAGAATAACACAGCCACACAACACTTGAACAAGGGAACAGTATAATTAGTAACAATACTCGAATCTAACTAGTTCCATTCATTAGGTATAATAGATGACAATGAGAAGTCACAATTATCTTATTACTGGTGATTGGCATAACCAAATCCTAATTAACATGTCAACATCACAACATTTAGGAGCAACAGGTAGGTACACATATAGGCAATGGGGCCTACCGTATTTCTGCTAATGTGGTACACCAATCCAATCCAAGTCCAATGATGTGACTCTAGCTAATTAGCTAGAGTCACATCACGTGCAATATTTAATAGATGCTGTGATTGGGTAAAAATTCTTTTTCCTACATTAGTCCCCATTTTATAGCACCCAGCTTCACTTAAATGCATTACTTTACCTACAAGTAATGTTAGGTCTCAGTGTGAAGTAAATGCTTTGAATTTGAGCATTGTCACACAATTCAGTACCATTGACTTGATTAGTAAATAATTATCTGAATTGTAGTACTTACATAAATTTTTGGTGAAATTGGAGTTAGTTTAGTGGGTTAGTTAGTGAAGTCTTACTAAGTACTAACAGTGGAGTTTATAATGTGCAATCTCCAAGGACTTGATCTGGAATACTAAACAGATTTTTTGTAGCTCATTTGAAACTGATTGAAAAAGAGTAGGTAATCTATGGAGTTCCTTGCTCATTCTTCTTCATAGGAACCTACACTTTGGAACGAGTAAATAGCTTCTTTAGGGGACTGACCGACAGACTCACGATTTTTAAATATTTCAATATTTTGTTTTGATGTTTAAATGCCTTCCTGGTCTAATTGAAATAAATGATTTTGACGGCTTTGAAATGACTAATAATTGATAAAGGTAAATATTCTGACCTATCCTAACTAGTACATGCCAATGCCTGTGTCAAGTATTACTTTAGTTTCAATAACTGTACCATGTTGGTATTATTGGTGTTTACCTAACATTATGTTTAAATAAATTTCACAAGTAATTGATTAGGGACGCCTTGTTAGGGCAGCAAGAAAAGTATTGTCAATCAGCAGTCTGCCACAGTCCACTGTTGAACTCCAGTAGAGAGAAAGGACTTGTAGCATTTTAAGTTAAATATAATAAAACAAATGGATGAGCAATACATCGTTTATTACGTTTACATCAAACACCAAGATTTAGATTAGAAGATAATATCTAGAAAAATAGAACAAAAAGAAATAAATAGAAAAAACTTTTAAAATAAAATTCTAAAAAGTATAAATTAAACAAACCTTAACTTAAAAATGCATCTTCTTAAAACCTATTTGAAATTGGAATGTAATTTAAACAAAGATCATAAATTAGAGATTAAATCAGAAGCAGATCCTTAGATTACTAGGAATATTATAGAGATAATAATTTTAAAAACATCTACATTGATTACATTCAGCATTGCCACTACGAATACTACAATATTAAAGATCATAGGTAATATCAATATATACTTATCTTAATATAATATTCATAAATATTAAAAAAGGTAATATTTTGCGACTTGTGCGTTCAATTTTTGTCATGTTCTACTGAAGCATTGATGCTATACAGCGACAGACTTGATGTTAAAAAAATTACATTAATTACCTGTCTTGGGGATGAAAAAGCCAAAACCCCAAGACATGTTAAATTTTGTTACAATTTCAAATGTTAAAATTAAATAATTTCTAACTACTTTATCAAAACTTGGTTCCGAAAAAGGTTGGACGGCCTCGTAACAATAATAACCACCGAAGTTTTTCAATTCCAAGATATTGATATATTTTATATCAAACGTAAATACTAATTAGAACGCTCACCTTACTAAATAATATAAATACAATACTAAATATTATATATAAATACATTTGGCTTATAAATGCTTAATAAAGTCAGCTCGTTTTCTTAATACAGGTAACACTTTTATTTTTTTTATTGTTTTTTTTTCACTTGTAAGTATATAAAATTACTACAGTCTAGTAAGCAAAGAGCAGTCCGTAAAATCTTGGGTTAAATAGTAACATACATTAAATGTCCTACGTCCTACATGTACTACACTTATTTGAGTTTTTACTTGGTATAATCTAGAATTGAAGATATAAAATACCAACCATTTTAGTGGTATGAGTAAAGTACATTGAATGAGATCAAAAAGTAATATATTAGATTCAAAAAGTTCATTGAATTTAGTCTTATTTAGAAAAATAATTCAAAATTATAGTGGAGCCGAAAGGAAGACGCTCTGGTCCTTCGAACCTAGATGTGAATACGTACAATAATGTATATAATTTAATAATAATTCCTGTTTTGGAAGCTCTAATTCCCACCATTCTAAGACTTCATTTTCAGTCATCACTTAGGTCTACAACCATAAATACGATCGCTCTTTAGAGCAAGGTAAATAGACAATTACTTATGCAACACTTCGCTTATACAACACTACACTAACAATTAGAATAAATATGATTAAATACTGCGTAAATTCTAATTCAATAACATTAATTGAATAAATAGCCATATTTTTATTCATTCAAAATCCTTTGCTGTAATAATAGCATATTATGAATGCTTAATCAGTACTTAAAGACAGATCTTATAAGCAGGTGCTAGGTATGCTTCAATTTATTGTTTTTTATTTATCTGATTTTGTAACATAAATATTCTTACAAATGTCCTTAAATGATTTTCGTGTAGACATTAGAAGCACGAAGTCAAGTCAAAATACACATTTGAAATTAATTACATTAAATATTCTTGAGAGTGTTAAGTTTATAGGGCGCGAAGACGAAGGATAAGACGACGGAACAGAAGTTTTAATGCATACCATATGACAAATACTGTTATAAATATTACGTCCAACACTATCACTAGGCCGTCACACATGTAACCGAGAGTTTCGTAGTAACTAATCAACATCAGTGGTACAACTATCGCCGCGACGTACATGAGCAGAATAAGCGTTTGACTTAGGGATAGCATATTAATAATGTACTCGTATTTATCCAACGTTTTATAAACCAGTCTATTAATTATGATTACGGTTTTTCGCACGTACAAACGGGCGAAACCGAAAACCCAATCCTATATATTTATTGCATCCGAATTGTCCTTTTTGTTTCGTCGGTTGCGTCGGTGTTTGCTGTTCGACAGGATTTCGTATGCTTGTTGGATCTCCATGAAGCGTTCCTGAGCAGCCCTGCGTTCTGCCTCGTCCTTGACTTTGTCAGGATGGTTCTCCCGAGACAGCTTCCTCCAGACCGACGTTATTTCAGATTGAGACGAATCGCGATTAACTCCCAGCACCTGTAATACAGACACCAAATTAATAGAAGTAACAAAATTGAATATAATTTGTAAAGCCCAATAACATCCAGCCTACAACGAACCAATAACGACAACAACACAAATTACTATTAGCGCTACCAACATAAAAATGACAAACATAAATTAACAATAATTGGCGTGAACTGCGTTCAAAAGCTCCTAAAAAATTAGAGAACTAAAAAAAAATAAGTTTTTAGATCCTGAAAAGCATTTTTCAAGAAGGAACCTTAAATTATAAAAACGTTTAAATTATAAAAAAGACACATTAAACCAATGCAAATGCGTGCATAGTATGTTATTTGTTTGTTACCGCTTTTAATCGTTCATAAGGTCCTAATTCACAAGCGCAGGCCGCTGGGAAAAATCCCTGAACAATGGAAGAAAAGTCAGATGACGATTTCAATATAGATATTTGGTGCTAAGAATTCCCTGTGACCCTAACACTATAACATAATTTAGATAATAGCATAATATGAATTCTTGTATACCTCTAAAAACTATTACATTTTATTATTATACTGAAGAAATTTTGTGTAACGGGCTACGAAATAGTACCATAAACATCACTATTTCAAAATTAAGATAAGGTATATTCTATATGATGACTCTGAAAAGAAACTCAGAGGTCAATCTATAAGGTCCCGGCTCCACAAAGAAGACAGTCCCAGTTCTCAGTATATTTCTTAAAAACATGAAGATATTATTACCTCGTCTCTCAGTATAATGTTTCATAAGTAATAAATAGTTATTAGTAATACATTTACTTTAAAAATGATGCACTATGATGTGACGAATACCGGAACCAGTTCACAATTAAATACACCTAACAAGAGTTATGATATAGAACTTCATAATAATTATTTACCCTGTAAGCATTTTGTTCTCCGTGAGGGTCCGATAGGTCTATGATCTGCTTCCAGACCTCATACCATCCGTGATGCTGCGCGTACTGGTAAGTTTCAGCAATGCATTGCTTTACATCTAACCACCTAAAACAAAAACATTTTTTAGTAAAAAACCTCTATACCACAGAATATAAAGTTCATTGTTCAGCACCTTAGAGGGTAAAACTGTAGCAATTTCGAACTCTCCCTCGTAAGCTTCATATTTGTATGTATCTTAACTTACCAGGGGCTTGTGAAGAAGTGGTGTAAAGCTTCGTATATCGGTACCTCATCGCCTTCGCTGTCAGTGATTGTACCATGGAAATACAGATAGCTGCACCAGAGTGACAGGTATATGCAGGCACAAGCAGCCAGGATGGAAACACGCCTATGACATACAGAAAATCATTTTACTATAAACCTAATAGGTGACCATGGGTGCTATGTACGTATACTTAATGAATTGTCTAGTTGAATGTCCCAGTGCTAATTCTACATCATAATAAATACCTATGAATAGAAATCATCATGGTTTATATAAAGATTAAACAATGTTAAACAAGAGCCACGTGAGGTTTACTGAATATCTTCTTGGCAACTAAGAAATGAATATGCTTTCCTACTTTCCTATGTGAATAACATAACTTACTTGACGTTATGGGTCTTCTTCTTGGGGGTCCTTCGCCAACGCTTGGAGTACGAATCGAATGCACAGGCCGATGCAAGAAGCATAATAGTAAACCAGATACTATCGTCAAAGACATAGTAGCGGATTGGATAGGCCGCAAAGGCACCAAGCAACGGCCACTTGAGAGACCCCTCCTCATTACCGATGTTTCCTACAGTCCATACACCTGGCAGAAAATCGAGCAATAAGTAACGATAAAAATACTACATACAAAACAGTCGAACAAAACCTATTGATTATAGTCTTGACAATCCAAAGGCAAAGGTATATACTATATAGCTATGAATCTTTATTAAGTAAGTACAATTTCTTCTTGTTGAATAAAAAGTACATTATCATGTACATAGCATGTTTTTTTTATTTGTATGTAATAAAACTTGTTACATTTTAATATTTTAAAAATGCGAGAAGTGGCTTTAAAAATTATAAGTTAATGTTCTAACATAAGTTTATGTTATATTTTATCAAATTACCTGCCCTTCAAGATTGTGAGGACTTCAAAAAGAGAGCACAACCAAAAATAATCTCAAATCTAAACGCCAACAAAATAAAAGAAGCATTAAGAAGTTAGCGATGGAATAGTGCTCCACATACCCTCAGGCTTAGCCTTAGAATCATCCATATCACAAACTGAGATTTCAGTTTTAGCTTTATCTTTGTTTCCCTTCACCACTTGACGTCTCGCTTTATCTGCCAGTTAGTAAGTTAGTAAGAGAATGCATTAAGAAGTATTCTTATGATTAACATTCTTAAATATCTTACCAAGTCCAAGAGCCACGGGAATCAGCAGGTTCAAGTAGCGGAGATTTATACCCCAGAATGAGTCCGGAGGAATGGCAAACATTGTCATTTGCGCCCAGGAATATCCAACCATCAGCATCCCAGTGAATCGATTCATAGAAAATGGCGGCTGAACAAAATGAAAGCACATATTTAATGAAGGTATTTAGAGTCAGTGACAGAGGACTTTCCTTAAGACTGCTCCTCATATATTCTATTACTATGGCAAAGTAACTGACTAGGACAGGACGGGGTCTAGTCTAGATTTAGGATTTATTTTAATTTTATATATTGTTCTCCAGTCCTATGTTAGAATACGACAAATCAGTGCAAGAGATTATCCAGTCAGTTGGTCAGTCACCAACCTCTGTGTTGGTGCACTCATTATTAATTTTAGTGTACATTATTAAAGCATCAGGGGGGAGAACAAAATAATTAATAGGTAGTGTTTGCTAGCAATATCTTTGGTGCTAATTTATCTATTAGACTTACCTATTTGTCAAGTAGCATCAATAACGCATGCCATAATTATGATATTAGTTACAAATTGTCACAATGCTCATATGCACAATAATGAAAATTATTACATGTTATTACGTGTACATTAGATATTATGTGTGAACGATTTACTTATTAGGTTAACTAAAGAATAATTAAATCAACTCCCAAATACTCACACGCTACATTACAATCAATTAGATGCATACATATAACAACAAGTTATACAACATCAACAAAAGTCTAATTTAGCAGGTATTTGAGTATTTGGCCGTTACTTCTACAGTTATCTACAGTGAAAATGTTATTTTGAATACAGGTTAGTAAAATAAATACAATTCGTATAAAATGTCTGTTTAATTAATTGTTTTTATAACAAAACTTTTACCAATAGACACAGCTCAGTGCTAATGCTAATGTATTCCAAGACCACTGCAACCATGCTGGATATTCTCAATTGAGAAATTTAGATGAGACTATTTTGTTTTCCTCAAGAATTATTAAATAGAGAAAGCCAATTTCCGATCACAGCCTTACAAGGAATACATGGGAATAATATTGAGCTGTTTATTCAAATGTCATACTCGGCTAAAGAGACTGTAAAGTTTCCCAAGATCCATTTAGTGTAATATTCATTATTTTAATCATTGTAGATTTCATGTCACCCATAACTATTGAAGAATTCATTGTCTCAACCAATATGTAACATGTTTTAGTATTGTGCAATAACATAATAAAATTGTAACAAAATTGTGAAATCAACAATTTTTAAGTAAACCATGTCAATTAGGTATTCTATTTAATTTGCAGTTTTAAATTATTTACAATTAGGTAGTAATGATTTTATATACCGACATACTTTGTGTAGGTAAAAAGATTTAATAACCTTTATTTTATGATTTGATATCTAAATGAGGACTAAATATGCAAGTACATGACAATAAGCATTACTATTTGTTAAAATAGCAACAAATTTTAATAATATTTTCAGTTAACATACTATTTCTTAGTTATTGTTATATTTGCATTTATGCAAGAAGGAATTCACGTACAGTGTACCTTAACACTGAGATCGTAATTAGATTCTTGTTATGGAAGATGAAACAATGAGATCATAATGCCAATTTGAGCATTAGTCTCAGAAATGAAGCAAAGCAGGATTATGATTTTTTTTATTTTAGTTGTGTTAATAAAAAAGTAGCCCAACACCATTAAATATACATACTTACAGTATGAAACCAAGTAGTCTCCCCAAAGGTCAGCAAAGTCAAGTCTTAAATGGAATACAACCAGAGTAATTAATTAGAAGATTATGACATCCATCCCGAGTACAGCATTAATACAAGTAAAGAATAGAATTAGTTGATCCTACCGAAGATATTAATTAAAATTATACAGTGCTTAAGAAATTTCTTGTTACACATTATAATAAAGATATCAGATTTTATGTACACATTATAGTAACTTCACCATATCTAAAACTAGAGATTAAATTGATGTGTCTATATGTAAATACCAATACAGTAAAAAATGGTAAGTTTAATATTTAATAAACAATATTTTATGCTAATCAATGACAATTTATAGCTTTATGAATTCTGTTTTATCCATTAATTTATTGCAAAGCAGCAGATTTGTCTTATGCTGAACAGAACATCTTAATCACATAAGCTTCATCCTAAAAATTGACAAATTGACAAACATAGCATTTCCCAAATGTGGAATTGTGATTTAGCCATCAAATATAAAGTATGTATAGTGAATATTCTTGTGTTAAAAATATTGATTGGCAGATACATCGCCAACATAACAAAGTATTATAGGTATTCGTAAAACTTAATATACTACCTATCGGAACCAGCTTGGGCTTAAAAGTGTCAATGGGGTTATGAAGAAGCAGTGTAAAAATCTTTGGAAAACACTGCTCAAGATCACTATGACTTATAATATAACCATTTAATACTTAAAATAGTCATATCATTATGATAGAGAACCAATTCCAACAAAGCATTGAGATAATCTCCATTGAAATACATTACCTTTTATTCTTCAATGGAAAGTCTAAGGGTTGTCTAACAATGAACATAAGCACCTGTGTACCCGGTTGTTTTTGTTTTAGTTTTGATATAAATAAATACCTATATACATACAGCTAGGCCCACACTAAATATCTGAATTTTTGACCAAGCTGCAAGCGCGAGCTCAATCTCACAGTATCCTAGTTAAAATAAAAGTAGAAAGTTTTATGTCCTACCTTTTTGTTCTGGATTACTCTCCTTGCCAATTCTTCCACATATTGTGGATCGTCATTGGCTTCGCGGACATACCGAGGAATTCTAAAAATTTCGCCGAGCCACCCTATTATAAAACCACCCAGTGTGGTCCACCACACAAATGCATGGCGATCCCGCCTAAGGTAAAAATGATGTCCACCAAAAATTCCCGTAAAAAGCCACATAAAATAAGCGACAAAAACGGATTTCTTTCCTGGCATCGTGCTGCTCTTCGCGGCCATGGTATTAGAAATAATAAACCTGCTAATTAGTAACGTAGCACTGGAGAAATGATGAACTGAATGTACTAGAAGCGCGTATTGATTTTGGCTTTCAATTAATACACGTCAAATGCCCCTAATACGTTTATATGACACTCGTTTATCCGTATATATAACAATGTAACTGTAAAATTATGTTATCTGAATCTCTATTCTTAACGCGGTTCAAATCTGTCGCCTAAACACATGACGTGGGATATGATTATTTAGAACGCGATTTGACAGAAAAGTAAACTGAGAATTCGACACACCAGCGCAGCGCGCGCGCAAGACAAGAAGGCCGATGGGCGGAGCTCAATAGAATAGGGATGCCAGCAAAAAAAATTAGTTTAGTACCAGTGATTATACGAATTTCATCGTTGGTCGAATAACATAAATAACTAATTTTTACTTTATTAAAAAAAAGTTGCCCTATATTACTTATGTTCGCCTATGTCATGGGTGCGTTTATGAATAAGTTCACATACACATGACACCCAGACCCGGAACAACTGTAGGTCACACAGAGTTATTCCGTGCGGGAATGGAACCCGCGACACTTAACGCGGCAGCCAGTTTTCCAACCACCGCAACTACCGTGCAGTCAAACAAACTAATACTTTTAACTTATATTTTTTTAACGACGTATCTACAAAATTTTATAAAATAAATGCTGTTTTTTATTATAATTAATTTGTATATTATATTTAATAATTTTGCAATAATATTAAAAAAAACTTTTTTTTGTTTTTATTTGTAAATAAATCTAGAACAGTGATCTTCTACATTTAGTTCAGTTGCTCGTTTATAATTTAAATAATTAATTATAACTTACGAACATAAGGTGAAAAATTCACCATTTTTGTAACATCTTGACTTTGTGTATTTTTTTAAGTTACAAAGTTGTGATGGTTGTTTTAACAAGTACTGTTAACACATAAATTTGCTACCCCGGATTATTTCATCATTATATTTTATGATAGCGAGCTGTAAATTGCAATAAGATTTAAAGAAAATTAAGTATTTTTAGTACCTACCTGGCCATTTCAAATTACACGACGCACCACTCTATCAGTAAGTTAGCAGTAGATTTATGTTCATTTCTGAAGGAAGCTCGAGTTTGTTTCGTTTAACGCCGCGCCATTGACACGGGCAAGGTGGAGCTATGGGAAGTCGGGGCGGGGAGCTCGGTTTATTGATTTATCCATAGACAAAAATGGAAAAACTATCAATGAAAAAAATGTATTGTCTTTGGTACATTACTATAGCCTAATAATATATATTTCAAACTAAACCTACACTAATAACCCATTAGGACCTTTAAATGGCAACTGTATTTTCGCTTACCAGATGGCGCTAGAGTAGAATTCTCATTATCGTCCAATAGGGATTTAGCTAGTGTCACTCCATTGGACGATCAATATTTGACAGCTGAAGTGATTGGACAAACAGACTTTTTTTGCTAGAATTTCGTCATCTCTGCTGAACAGAAAAAACGGAAGCCCGTAATTAGCAACAAAGTGCCGCGCGACTAAAGAGTCTAAGCATTTCGGATTCACTAGTCAAAATTTTTTCGGTAATTTATATTAACTTCTAGTGTAAAATCATGTGTTAGTATAAATATTACTCTGTCTCGCTGTAGGGGTTGATAGGTGAACGATTGTGGCGCCTCCATTCATTTTCATGTATATACTACAAGAATAGACAGCTGTGATTTCAATATTTTTATTTTCTATTCATTAGTTAATGTTTTATGACTTTTTTAAGTTTTAGTCAGAATAACTTAGCATGAGTATTTAAAAAGGCGCGAACGTCAAATTTGACACTTATATATAGATAGTTTGGCTGACATTGCAATGAAATCACACTCTAGTTGGCAGTTCACTGACATATTTTATTATTTTTTGTAGGCAAGGCACAATAAGCAAGGCACTGACAATAGTCAAATCAGTCTAGTACTTGACGTCATTTAGAGGTCTGATGAATGTCAACAGATTTGTGTATTTTTGTTCGAATGAACGTAATCATACAATTTTAAGAGCACTGATCACGAAACCAAGCGCGAAACTATAACTTGGTTTACTTAAAATCTGGAAATTGTTTTCGAATTGGCATACGTTGATTTTTACTTTACATATCGAAATTAGAGGTGAAGTTTTAAATAAACATGACGTTAAAAGGCAAAACTTCTAATCGAGTCCATCATTACAACTTCCCATATACTTATTATACTCTTTGATTAAATTTAACCGCCGAATATGACAAAAAATCCTTACGTCAAAATCACCCTAAAGAGTCAATGTCAACTATAGACAGCATTAATATTAGTAACAGGTCCCACGCATAGTAAATAGTAAAAATAATAATAATCTTATACTAAAACTATAAGAGATTGCTTGTTTGAACGCGCTAATCTTGGGAACTACTGGACTTGAAAAAAATATTTTTATGTTGGATAGTCCAACACGTAGAAAAATGACGAGATGATTCTCGTCGTAGCCTATACCGCAATTAATAGCAGCCGAATAGAGCGGGCGAAACCGCGCGAAAGTGGCTAGTTAACTATTAACACACATACTACAGCCGCTGGTCAGCAATCGAAACATTAGAAACGTTACCGGGTTTGGCGCTTGATTGACTTGCTTCAATAGACCAACCGATCTTAAAACAAACTCGTAATAGGCCCTCAGATAATAAATACGTAACACCTTACCATAACTTTTTTGCGATTTCCGATTCCATTATTCGGTTCCATTGGTACCTACTACATGGCATACTACATGGGCACATTGTACAAAACCTCTGTAGTGACTTAATTAGTTTAAATACTCTGAAGTAATTATTTTGTGCCGTATTGTCGTTAATTAATCGTATTCGTATTCGACTTTCATTCGTTAGGTCGTTTTTAGTCATACATCCGGAAACGATGTAGGGCTGCCAACCAGCCAACCAATATTGTCATCGACAACGTCCATCGCCAACTTTTTTTTTAACAGTCAGCAAAAAGACCTCAATCAGACAAGACATGGTGTGAACGAAAATCTATTTTCTTTCATATTTACGCAGTCAGAACAGACTAGAATTTCAGTGACCTTATTTATTCAAAGAAAGAAAATAAAATGTAAAACACGTATTTTAAATAATGTAGAATATTGCCTTATGGAGAAGTGTTTTGGATCCACTCATCGATCGCGTCATCAAATAATATTATCCATTACTTTAGCTACATCTAATCATGTTTGAAGAAAATATTAATTGAATGCCCTTGTGTAGAAATAGATGAAGTGATTTCGAATTTGTTAAATTTCTGCTGTTCGTTTCCAAAATGTACGAAGACAATACAGAGACGGTTTATGGGACCCATGAAGACTCCCACGTTGTGATGTCAGAAAAGGTCCAGTCTCTGGCTGGAAGCATATACCAGGAGTTCGAACGCATGATAGCTCGGTATGACGAAGATGTCGTGAAGACGCTTATGCCACTTTTGGTGAACGTACTTGAGTGCTTGGATTCTGCTTATCAGACCAACCAGGAACATGAAGTCGAGCTGGAGTTGCTGCGCGAAGATAATGAACAACTGGTCACGCAATACGAGCGCGAGAAGGCAGCGAGGAAGCATGCGGAGCAGAAGGTGAGTGAACAAAACAAGTAGTAAAGAAGGGGCCTTGACTGTCTTCCTTTGTTTTGCATCACAAGGCTGCCTTAGAACGTATTTAGTAGTTTACTGCAATCTGTATTTAATGCACGCATATTGTTTTTATTTGGTTTTACTAGTGTACCAAGTGAAGAGTTGCTCAAACATTGTGGTAGTTTTCATGGAATGTGCCATCCATTCTGTTATCTGAATCCCAAGGTAAACAAGATGATTTGGTATCAAGTTTGCATAATAGGTGACATAGGCATCTGGTAATTATATCAGGGCTCACAATTTTGTATTTATCATGATTTATAGTCTGTGGTTTGACCTGTGATGATTTATGCTATTGTTTACTGACATAAAATTGGCTGCTCCACTTCTACATGTTGCGCTACAATACAACTGTAAAAACATACCCAAATAATAATCTACAATTTTTGTTAATGGACATTAACTGATAAAATTATTCTTTGCTAATACTGTGGTTTATCTTCTATTTAAATCTAATAAGATTAAAAAGAAATCTTACATTTCTTTTGCGTTATGGCCTTGTGAGATTTTATTGTAATTTTCATATAAGAATAGGAATATTTATTAAAAATTATATGTGTAATTTACCTACTATGCATGTTCGCTCACTCATGGGTCTTAAAAATAAGGGATATTTGTTAGTTAGGAATATTATTTGAGTATGTGTATTTTAAAAGTTGATATATAATATCTGATTTCAAACTTTTCTTTACGATAGACTTTTTACTTGTTTGGAGTTTCTATTAAAAAAAATTTGATTAAACCAGAGATTTCTAATTAAGAGTTGTTATTAATTTTGGCTGGTAATGAATATATGTATTTTTTAAATATCCCCACAGTATGGTAAATCCACCAACAGTTTACAAACATCCAATTTCATATACATATGGCACCTAGACTCAGTACAACAATTTATGGATCACACAAATTGTTGTACTAGGTCTAGCGGGAATGGAATGTTCTACACATTGGATAAATGTCACACAATCATAATAATATGCACATCTTTTTATGTATTCCCTCATCCATGTTTTAGAATTTAGCAATTGAACAATTTATGTATGTGTGCATAAAACAGGTTTTAATTACAAACTAATAACTTTTTGGCTCTATAAACCACTCGTAGAAATTCAGCCAATAGAGAATAGCCTTGAATGATACATGAACATATATTATACATTTTAAAAACAGTTGCTACTACTTTTGCCATGATCTGATTAATATAAATCTTGTGATTAGCTAATTGTCTAATGTAATGTTGTTACCCAATAATAATAACCACATGCACTTGTGTTGTCTTAGTATTTTAATTATATGACTGCAACAGTAATGTTGTTAGATGCACAACAAGATGGGACATTGATAAAGAAATTAGTTCTTACTATAATTTCTCTATATGTAATTGTAGACTATAATAAAAATGATAATAATTATGACTGTTGAATAAACAAATGGAATAACAATACTCATAATCTATCTACATTTAATATTATTGGAGTTATCATTCCATTATTTAATATAGGGACTTTTTACGATAGATGATAGATTTGAATTTACTAAGAGTCATGTGTTAAAATACTCAAACGCTACTCAAATTTAAGTCACACTTAAGTATAGTTCTGTCTAGTAGAATGAGTAGCGTTTCAGTATTCAGATGATGGGTGTTTCAATTACTTATGTATGTTTTGCAAACTCATTAATATTATCAGTCTAATAAGAAAAAAAAAAACATAAATGATAAAAACAATTATTTTATTCTGACATTCTCATCTAATATGATAAGTTATTAGGTCAGTCCCTGAGTTTGAAATAGGATGAGAGTGTGAGCAAGCAAAATAGGGAACAATATTTATATTTAGTTTTATTTATACTTGGTAGCGTCCTATTTTCCTGTTTGAACTAAAATTGAAATATAAGTTTAATATTATGTATATTCCTGTATTGAATTGTAACAAGTAAATCCTCTACAGGATAGACAGATATGTAATCTATTGCTCTGATTTAAATGTAGTTTAATACATAATTTTTATAAGTCGTATTTTTATTGCTAACATTGGATTTTGCATATTAGTAGGATATTTTATTTGCTTATAACTTGTCTGTGTCGAATAAAATGGAAAATAATATACCAATATCCAAAACAAAAGTTCTGATGGTATGTGTTAATTATTATTATTTCAAATACTAACATTATATTCATGTCTATTGACTATCACATTTATGTAGGAAACATTTTAGTTATAAAGAAATTAGTTTTTAATTAGCTTCTTTCAATGATTTCAGTCTGCATCTTACGAAATGAATCATGTAGTCGTAATAACTATGTAACTCATTGAAAAATTATTTTATTTTAACTTTAAAGTCAACTCAAATACTTATATTGCTCAATTTGCAATGCTTTGCATTAAATTTTTGAAGCCAAATAATATAAAAGTACCAATATAAGTTGCAAGTTGGAGCGACAAGTTTGCAATAATTTTCCTGCGATTTCTTTTTGTGTTCAATTTTTTCTATGCAGCTCCTAGGTCTCATGTCTGTCTTATGTCCTATTATACTCGGAATTTTAATTCGATTCCAGATTTGACAATTTCAGTGTTGTCACGTTATGACAAGTACTAAATAGTGACGTTGCGAAATTATTCGATATGGAACTGAAATATTTCTGGATCGATTCTTCTCGTTTATAATTTTACTTTGGTAAACTAAGTTTATCAGGAAATTAAATATTTCTTATCGATAATTTAGTTTTGACGGTTAATTAACGATCTGAGACTCTTCTTTTATAATTGTGTGTGAAATAAATAAAAAAATGTAACCATGAAAGAACATGACAAATAAAACAAAAAGATGTATTATGGTAATAAGTTATTTTATACATTGTCGCCGTCATCGCTATCGCTATCGCTGTCACTTTCTGTAACATTTAATATAAAACACACACATTGATTGTTTATCGATTTTTGTGTTCATCACTAGACTATTATATGTGGTATCATTATTTCACAAAATGACAGTAGCCAATGTCAAATCTGGAATCTAATTAAAATTCTGACTATAGTTATAAAATTACTATTCAATAAATATTTTTTTTGTGTATCATTACAATCTATGAATGAATTGAGATTAGCCACAATTGCTAAGAAACTAGGAGTAAAGCAACTAAGAGTAATAAATACATCGTTGTTGACAGTTGCTGGAAGCCGAAGATCACTTCGAAGGGGAGAGGAAGGATCTATCCGGCCGAATGGAAGCTCTAGACAGTATTGTCAGAATGTTGGAGCTGAAACATAAGAACTCATTGGACCACGCCAGCAGACTTGAAGAACGAGAAAATGAACTGAAGAAGGTAAGTCAGTAATGTTTTCATTAGCTAATACACATGACACACTGTGACATATACTGATATCATCACCCGTTTTACCCCCTGATGGAGTAGGCACATGTGGTCAATGCGCATAACTGTAACACCCACAGTTCACCAGTTACAGTAATAGAAGGCAAATATATTACTAAACTTTGCAATACCCTAGGCTCAGTGCAACTATTGAGAAGATCCTTAAGCTAATAAAAAAGTCAATAATACTTTGGGCGATCTGGTGATCACCAGTACTTACATATGTATGTATGAGCGACGGCTCATACATTTATAATGCTAGCCAAGGGTACCTATGTCTCAAACTCTCAAGATATAGGCGAACCTTGAGGTGCGTTAATATTACACAAAGCAGCTGATCTTTGTAGGTAGATGCAGAAAAGGCTTAACTAAGTAGTTCATGGTGATCATCGGAAGTAACTTGCAAGGCCTTATCGAAATCAACTAATACTAGTTAGAACAGTTCCTAGTGGTATGTGTATGGAAATAGGTTATTACTAATATTACACTTACGAGAAGGTTCTACTGTAATTAAGTTAGTAGGCATGATTAGTTGAAAATAGGAAATGCAGTAGTTTCTGTATCATTACCATTGTACCTGCAACTGTATTCTGTCTTTGATTTGATAGATTTTCGGCCGTTTTTTTTTCTATAGGGACGTACAGAGTTCCTTTAAAAATTAAATTTTTCGGTTGTCACACTGTACTGCACAGATAATTAACAGTGGACAGTACCTTTTTTTTTGTGACGGGGGCACACCTTCGAGATGCGCCTAGCTTTTTGGGGAGTGTTGGATTTTTACCTCACGATAGCCACCCTAAGCACCTGTAAGGGCCACTGGGTCCTCTGATAGACCTGCTCCGGAGCCCCCACGGTGCGAAACTTGTCACGACTCATCTCTAGCTAGGGAGACGTTCATGTCTTTTGAGCCTCGCTGTGCACGGCAGCACGTGACGTGCTACCGATAATAACATCAAATAAATGCGTTTTTATCTCGCAACTACCTTGTTCTGAGAAGTATAATAAATGAGTATGTATAGGTTCAACAGTCTGTCTTATATTTCATGACGCTGCAGGTTTTGTGTAATACGAAACTTAGTTTTTTATGCAAGTACGTTTGTAGTCAAGCCGCAGCCGATACAAATGTTGCATTTCAATAATTAAGTAGACGGTGAACCAATTTCGATTAAGGTGTATTATCGTCTGCTACATTACAAAAGGATCGATAGGTATACTTAAAGGATTTTGGACTCTATTTCTTGGCCAAAAGAATTTAATTATCAAACTGCTTAATCTTTGTCAAAGAGGACGTGATTAGGATCGGAACTATTTATTGATAAAAAATATAATTTTGACAGTATTGTACAGACATAGCTACTAATCTCAAGTTCGTATTAACATACGAAAATGCAACTTGATATATTGTGTCAATTGAACCATTCAAAATACATTCTAAAAGGTATCTAATACCAAAGAACACACGCTGACAAACACACAATTTAATCTTCTTGTGCTAATCCAATAAACGTTTGGTGCAGTCTTGAATGCCAGTTTATAGATCGTACTAACTAACCACTTGTCCAATTTCATGAACCATAATTTTTAAATACAAATTTTATATACTACTTATATGTATGCTGAAGAGTTTCTTGGTTTGTATGGTTGAACGCAACTATTTTTGTGTTATATAGTTGACATAAAACATCATGATACGACCAAAAAGAGTCAAGCAGCGGGAGTAGTGTACTAGTAGTTTAATAAAGTCAGTCAGTATATTTCATAGTTAGGTGGACTGGCCAACCAAGATTGTTCTTAATTCTGATGATCGTAAAAGCGCTAATGCCACAATATTGCATTTAAACTTGTTCTTATATCTTCGGTTCGGTTAATATAACTGCGTATGTAATTCGAGTAGGTAATAATAATTGCATGGATGATTTAATCAAAAGCAGTTCATGACCGAATTTTATGACGACAAATTATTCTGCACCTCACATTCGGTACAATTGTTCGTATAATATTATATTCCCAAGGATTTGGTGGTTGTAGAAAATATTGTATCCATTTTTAACATGGGACTAATGCGGTCAGCATGCCTGTTGAGCTATAAACTAGGTCATGTACTACCTGGGTACACTTTTCCAGATTTCATGCAAAATCCTCAGCTTTTGTGGTAGTTGATTGAGGTACCTACACATATTAATAGAGTTCATACTTCATAGTAGGTTAACTTGATGCGTAATGTGGTAACGAGATCAAACTATTCCCCTTTAGCTGACTGCCTCGTGGGCCGAGTGGTCGCAAGTGTGACTAATGAGAAAAGGGGCAAAGTAATACAAATTTAAAAAAAATCTCAGTATAAGCACGGAACCTGGAATTGTGCCCGGTATATGGCAATAGGCTCACCCCTATTACATGGGACTTATAACATAAATAGTGTAAAGTGGGTGTTACATTGTACAGTGGTACTAAGAGACGTAATGTGCACCTCTGCCTACCCCTTCGGGGATAAAAGGAGTGATGTTATGTTATGTTCTGAACACTTCCTTTCGTACCTAATTTAGACAAGTATGATAAAATGCATCTTTCCAAGGTCGGAAAAATCGTTTTCAGTTCTTCTTTCTGTCATGTTAGACAATTAGATATGATTACCTAGAAGCGTCGTGGATGATTTACCCAAGTTTATTAAACAAGCAGTCCATTACTACAGGCAGGTTATAATACATGTTTCAATCTAAATGTTTGTACTCAGGAATATTCGAAACTCCACGAGCGATACAATGAGCTGTTCAAGACCCATGTGGACTACATGGAACGCACCAAGTTGCTGATGAGTACAGCCAGCGACAGAGGAGAGGTCCGCGGAAGACTTGGCCTCAACCCTATGCGTTCTAGTGGTGAGCACATTGATTTATTTATTTCAATAAGATCCATCGACAATAGAAATAAAATGTAACAAAAACACATCAGTTATATATAGCCAGTTATTTCTGACTGCAATCTAGTATCCAAAGAATATCATTATGCATGAAGATAATAATGTTTATACTAATGCGAATTTAAATACATAAAAGATTCCAGTGCGTCCTTTTGCTGAAAGAGAAATGCATTTTAATGTAAAAGGATTCTAAAAATATAGGTCTTATTGTTTATTACTACGACTACTCTTTTTACAAGAAAGGCCTTTCTTGTTAGTTAGCAATTGTTTAAGTATGGATACTGGACCTCAAGACCCCAAACAATCTATAAGCAGTAATAGGTATTTTTAGATTGACTAGTGTTTCTACTTCGCCGACATGACTTGGAAAGCGTAATGGCGTAGGATTATAAGGAAGGGACTGGAACGTGATGCACCCGTATTTGCGCACATAGATATATCTAGACTATTACTAGATATTTCCTGCGCAGTTGGCTAGTCTAATTGAATCACAAGTCGTAGTGATTGAAGTCGTTCTGCAGATAAAATTACTTGCTAAAGGTACCACTGCCTCTGAGAAAAACTGACATCATGTTATGCAATAGGTACAGATCTAAATAATAAATCTATACGGTCAAAAACCTTTTCTTTAGTTTCTTTTTTATAAAACGTTTAATAATGATTATGTGGAGTCATATAATCCTACTACGTATTGCTAGTAGAAATATATATAAATAGTAATACTTATTTTAATTGCCTTAATTTTTAATCTATGAATGTGTGTATAGTTAGGATGCACGTGGCACGTGGCATATAAATATAGAGTTTAATCATCTAAAATATTGGAGCTATTCGATCGTTATTCAGTGGAAATTCTCAACTTGTAGATGGTCACTTGTACCTTGTTAAGCAGTTCTCGTCTTTATAGGTGTGATGTCGTGGCCTTATATTTGTGTATGTAAGTACTGACCACACTTCTAAAATATTTTTGTTACATAGAGTCTAGTTTCCGACTATACTCGACTTTTTAGTGGCTGCACGGATACTTTTACTTGACTATCAGAATAACATTTTGATGTAAAGAGAATATTTGTTTAATAATTTTGAATACTTACTTACAGTTGTTAGCCACGATAACATTATTCTTAAGCGACGAATATTATGTAGTTATAAACAAATGATATTTTAAAAATAATGTAAGCCAAACAAGTCTTTATGTCCTGTCTTTTTAAACATGTAAAAAGTAAAAATACTTGACTCAGCAGTTTTAAACCCTTCTATTATAGTTCTATATAAGCGATACGCTATCAAAGGATTATAAAATCAATATTTTCCATACGAGCAGAACTAAATCTCCCAATCTATTGTAGCAAATATTTACTTTTGAGATGGCAAACTTGTGATACGTTCACAATATACCAGGTTAGGTCCGGTTCGTTGAAGATGAGCGAGATTGAATCTATAAAAACAAAGGATTACGGCAAGCCAAGCGCTTGCTAAATATCGATTAATCACTCGGGTCACAACGGTTTATCCTCGGCGGCCGGCAGTATAAACCCAGCCTTAGACAGGAATATTATCAGGATTATAGATACACTATTACCAGTATACACACATTATAGCACACTAGGCCAAAATAATAAGCGATCGATTACGATAGATTTTTGAAATGTATTATTAACAGCGTATAAGTTTGACACGAAGAAGGTTTTGCAGAGCATTAATCACCACGCTTGCTCAATGCAGGTTGGCGATTTCAAACCTATACCTTATCATAAATTATAATCCCAGGTTTCGGGCATGAGAAGCGGGCTTCTTGAACCTCCGGGCTACCACGACATTTTTACATAGATTTTTGACATTACACCTATTGAATAGGTTAGTTGCCCAAATTTTATTTTAATGTCCATCTGGTAGATTAATTTAAAACATTAGACACGTATTTTTTCTTTTCTCACAAAATTAAATACTTTCTACGATATAATAATCTGAAATATCGTGTGACGTCACAATACGCTACATTTTGTAGCACTTAGTGGCGTAACGACTGTCCCACTCCTAAACTAAACTCCATATTATCTAAGTATTGTAACTTTATACGAGAAAATAAAAAAATACGTATCTAATATATTCATTATCTAAATGACGGACTAATTAGATTTTTAATTTTCATTCCCTGGCAACTATTGTCTAAAACTTGAGAATTTGCATTAATATCGGTTAACAATTTCGGATATTAGTGCTACATATTTCTATAATACTTAATGCAAAAGTCTGCAAAACTAGTACCAAGTCTCTAGTTATAAATAACAATCGGTTGCTAATCTGATAATAATTGAATCCTCAACGTGCTGGTGTGCGATTATCGTATGTAGTAAGATAATGTGTGTTATTACGGCACTATGCCGACTGCTTGCTCTAGATATGTGCTGAATTAAAAAGTATATACTTTTAATCCAGTTTATGAACGATCTTTATCTACATACTTAGCGTTTACATAGTTTTTTCTTATAAATACTTGATATATGTTTATGAAACTCGGGACTTTTTGCTTAATAGTGTAGTTTGACTTCTAGAAGTCTTTAATTTATCATGGTTCCATGATAGAAAAAAAAGAAAATTGATAAACTATTTCAATTCCCAATAGACATTGGAACTTAACAGCTGAAGCAGAAGTGGCGTTTCTATATAAATACTGGCTGCCTCTTTATTCACTGCTTTCAGGATTTGTCAAGGATTTCACTTGTTGAATTTTTAACTAGACAATGTTTGGGCTTGGAAGATCCTTCAGCCTAACGTACCGCTTCTCATACCAACGGTAGCCCCAATTACACTGCAGTTTCATTAAATTTATCGCATTCTTTTTATCATTCGAATTGAATCATGCAATCGTAATATCGTTTGGAAACTCAATCAGTAATTATGAGTTGAAGGTTTCCAATATAATATGATTCATTTCAGGTGTTGTAGTGACGTAGATACATGTTCTTCGCAAGCTCCCGAAACATATATTATTTATGAAGAATTACATGTCACAATATTACGCCTTTTATCCCTGAAGGGGTAGGCAGAGGTGCACATTACAGCACTAATGGCACTGTACAATGTAACACCTAATTTTCAGTATTTATGTTATGAGGTTCCATGTAATAGGAGGTTAGCCTATTGCCATATACCGGACACAATTCTAGACTCCGTGCTACCACTGAGATTTTTTTTAAAGCCCAGTAATACTTTGACCTGCCCAGGAATCGAACCCGAGACCCCTTGCCTGCCTATCAACGAGGCAGTCTTATGAAGAATTCTTGAAATAAATAATTAGGTTCTAGTAACACCTTGACGGTTTTGTTAAAAATATGAGGTACGAGTACCTAAACACGCAATTCATGTCTTCATTTAATATACGCATCGGATTTACACACGTAATGCACCGGTCGTTCAAGTACTTTTCTGATGGCTATTGCCTACATTCAGTGAATATGTCTGATACAGACAACTCTAGTATTTTATTTAGCTTAGAACATGCAACTCATGAGTCCAGATCGATGGGTTACACGGCAGACGGGTCTAAAAATGGGTTCACTATTAATTCAAATAAAGTCTTCGACCTTAAAATGTATTCAAGTACTTCGCGGTAAAACGTGAATTCAGCGTTTAATTCAGTTTCCAATTGCGGTCGTTTTTCCAATGAATTTAGTTCGGAAGGTGGCATGGCTCATTAATAGTTCTACACGAACCGTGAGCCCCCTTTGATTCGAGCACGATTTATCTGTCTTATGTTTGATAGGAAAGTCCATGCCGACCACCGAGACGCTATCATGATTAACGCAACCTAAAAGCTGGGAGAGAATCGTCAGATGTTGTAACACCGTGGACACATTTCCATAACATAATTATGAAAGTAGGACACTAATGTTAAAAATTTACATTAAGAAGCGCTACAAATAAAATTTACGCTTAATGGTTTCGTTGTATTATTCAATTTTGACGTTAGTATAACATGTACCAATGTTCCATTGTAGATAAATCAATGTTTGAAAGTACTTAACTGTTTTAACGTCACCTAATTAATTTACCTAAGTTTTGTTACCCCGGGGTTTGGTTTGCAAATAGTTTACTTAACCGATGATAGTTTTCTCCTTCGTACATTTACAATTTAAATGTATGTGACGCAACAGATGTTAGTTAAAGTACCTAAGGTATGACCCGAGGTCATTCAATAAATCGATAGAATCAGCGCCAACCGTTCCAAGCATTCAAGACGTTATGCCTGGTTATCAAAAATTAAAACATTTTACAATATTTCTTTTGTATTTTTAAAGCAAAAAATTTACTTAATACTTATTTCAGAAATTTAACGAAATATTTATCATAATATTTTATCATCTTATAAAGCAGTACCTAACTCAAAGTCAATGGAATTTGTCTTTCATAAATACCTTGTTTCGAAGCCGGCAATAAAAAAAAGACCTGCCTAAATTTATTGATTTATTGAGCTCTATTGAGCTGCTGTATTAGTCGAACTGTCACACTTTTAGTTTTTATTAATATTAGGCCGATTTTATTATAATCGTATTAGTAGATTTTTTCTTGTCTGCAATGTTTTCACTGATAATCAAAGCACGGAAGGAAAAAACCCAATAAGTATTGCGTTTTTTTGGAACTATACTAATATCTTCTTGTCGGCTGTTTTTTGGGCTCACAAAATGTTAATTGATTTAGATGTTTGAATATTATTATTAAAAGTGGACCAGTTGCCCTTGGTTAGTTGGTTATCTCTGTTGTAATTTTTGTCGACGTTACTATTACCATAACATAGAACTTAAAATACTTAAAAGCCATTTACAATTGAAATGAGATGGCTGCGTAGGCTTGTGTAGTTTAAGAATATATTGTGTATTTGACGACATTTCTATTATCACGTTTCGCAATCTCCTATACAAGTCTTAAGTTAAGCTTCAATCTTGGAACATAGAAACGACTATGAATTACTATTTATGACTATAAAACTGTTTTTGATTATAAATCAGTTCTTTGCACAGTTTCACTCGAACTCTTAGCAATTTGACAATAAGACATTTACATCTGGAAATCATCATTTTTTTGTGGAAATCTGCTATCATTTAACGTGATCAGTAATAACATGATAGACGTAGGTACGCCCGCATATTGAAAGACTACTTACTTTAATATCTTTCCATCTCTGTCCTTTTACAAAGAAACTATACTTAGCGCGTCTTAATATTGAATGACGTTTGATCATTTGGACACAAGTAAGTTAATGTGCTGTATTTAGGTACCCATTACGTAAGCATCACTTCTAACGTAACGTGAACGGAACGGAGTGTGCCCCACAAAGACATCACTCAGCATTCTTAAGCACAATATACTGCATGGTCACAAAATACGACTTTATTTCTACCAATTGTAATTTTAAAGTTAGAAAATGATACGTGTTGATTTTGTTATTGTTACAAGAACGTTTATTCTACAGCGAGTTCAAGCAGTAAAAAGAGTTTGTTAACGACTAAAATTATTGTTCTATTAGCACAATAAATTATAATTTAAGTATGTGCTGTTCTACTGACAGCTGAACAGTATATACTTAAATTATACGTGCTTACAATATGGTAGTTGACAACTAGTCAAATTCTATACTTTTATCGAAACGACAAAAACGATACTCTTCTATGAACTTCGTACGAAATACTATCTTATGACGTCATTATATTTTCGCGTCGAATAGCACTCTTGTATCTAAAAAAATCTAGAATACATCTAAAATTAAGTATATCAGCAAATCAATGAATGAAAGTGTAACTATTTTTCAATATTTAATTGGACTGAAAAATAAAAATAATTTATTTTTGACCGAGGAAACTACTCTATTATTTAAATTAACAAAGAAATAATAAATCATTTATACATATGTAGTAAAATTAAACAATTAATAACAATTACATTATGCATACAATTGATTACTAAGTCTAAACGATAAAACATTAAATACCATTTCTAGCTTTCTACTCGAACAAGTTCATCGTACAGTTTCACTGTCCATATTACCCTGATTGGTTGAATTAGATAGGTTGAGGCCAATTGGTTTTAATGACGAGTACCTATAATTGTCGTTACGTCTTCCTCCCGACCTCTACTCCGCAGATAAACTGGCTGTTCTCTTAGGTTTTTGGCTATAAATAGAAGTGTAATGATTTCGACAATGGATTTAAAAATATGTTTTAAGAGAAAAAATGTGTCACGTACTTGTTGGTCGCATCTTATTATCGACAAGAATCTCCTTGGAAAACGGGCCATTGACCTAATCTCACCCTTTGTCCTCTCAGGTCCGATATCGTTCGGGTTTGCATCGCTGGAGAGTTCGATGCACAATGTGGAACAAACTGAGAGTATGCCTGGTAGTCCTGTCAGCTTATCTTCGTCGCCTCCCTCTCCACCGACCGGCTCCGACTTAGCAGCGGTGAGGACTGTTGAATGCGCCCACCAGACAGATCCAATCACGCAGCAAAGCCAGGTAAAATCCAAACATTTTTATTTATCTGTTACAGATCAGAGTGAGTTCATAATTTTTAATAAATATTCGTTTAACACTGCAATAAGGTTGACTTTCTTTTTATTATTATTTCTGAATTGCGTCAGTTTCAATAATAGTAGGTATGTATGGTAGAAAGTGAGAACTACATCAGAATTATATGGAACATCCTTCCACTTCCACATGTACGAGATTTCCTCTGACTACCAGTTGGTATTCTATTCAGTTACCTTCATACAAGCCACGGTAGCTTGTCCAATTCATACTTATCACGTTTAAGTTGTAAATACCAGTACCGGCGTTCTATAGACCTTAGAACGGAACGTCCACCGCCAGCTAAAATAAGTTAGTTGAGTTTAGTTCGCATAGTTAGGCTAGCTTTTCATAGTGCGTTCATCGCAAACTATGCCAACTGAGCTGCTATGTTATGCCAGCTCTAAACAGCTGGCGGTGGATGAAACTTTATGCTTTATGATAAAGCACAGAAATCATGTCATCCAGGTATTTCTACGTATAACTTGAATTGATTAAACTTGTCCTTACATTGCTTCTAGTTTTAGTTTAGTAGTAAAAAGGACATGAATTACGATGTGCAAAAGTCGCCATATTGAAATTAATCAAGAAAAATAACTATGCTCAATAAGTCATTATCAGTGCCTGTATTAATGTACCACTTTAAAATATTCCTTTTCTTTATCCTTAAGAACAAATCATTTGATTTTTATTGATTACCCTACTTACATAGTTGTAACATTTTATTCAAGTATCCAACAATAAAAGAAGTCATATAAATGAACAATATTTTAGTGTAAAGTGGTCATTCTAGAATCGTATTTTCTACATCTATGGAGGGAGTGTAAGCTGCGCGCCCCAGTTAGTTGAGGTCAGTGTAGTAGCAATTCACTGGGTGAATTTTCCAAGTGGTCGTGGTTAAGAATCCAAGAATTTTACAAATACATTTCGAGGAATGTACAGGTCGTTTTAAGATGTTCCAGAATGTTTTAATGTACTTCATTTATTTTTTAAATTTAGTAGGAAATCTCTTTATTTTAAATTAGTCCGACCATTAAGGAAGAACTATGGGGGTTACCTGGAAAGTTTTTCAGGAGTTTTGAAAATCGGCAATTTTGATGTGATACACGTATACTTTACAGAAATAAGAAATGTTATAAAATTTGTATCTGCTGGAAACAAATATTCATTCAATTGAATATCACTATACATTGATATGAAATAAAAGATCACATTAAAGATTCTATATAAAATTAAATTTATTTCAAGTTCTTACAATTACATATTTACAATAACAAAAAATAAAAGCTATTTAATAACCATTAGCAATAAAGCCCACATGATAATTTTCCAATCCTGCTTTACATAGGTGGCGTAGTTGCATCCGTCTGATTTACATTCGCAAACTCGCGAGTAATGTATGTTGCTGAACCTGGAGTGTTCACACTTGAGCGGTTCTGTATACACATAAGCACATTCCCTTATCACCGTGACGTCTTGGCCGGGAGTAAAGTAATTTATTTGAGACAGCGACCGACACACGGGCCGCCCTTTGTGTTGGCTGCAATCTTTCAAATGTGCGGGGTTCAAATTATATGTAAAACATCCTCGGTTCTCTATCGACGAGCACTGGTAACATTTTAGGCACGTCACTTTACACATCACGGATAATAAAAACGTAGCTATTAGGATTATGTTTGTTGAATAACATTTCATTTTATAACCGTTGGTTTGACGGCTCCTCGATCGGCCATAGCGTTGACATTTCCAAATTCGAAATATGTCAACCTTTAATGTTTCCTTTTTACTGCCAAATTTACTGTCGGCTATTCCACCTTTTTGGTCGTCTATAGTATGGAAGTTTAAAACTATTTTATTATAGTTGATTATGGCATTATTTTTGTTTATCGACCTTACAGAAAAGAATAGGTACCTACAATAAACAAATAAAATCTTTACTTGCACCTATCTATCCATTTTTGTTGGTGCATTTTCAATTTTAGTTCCACGAAGACGGGGCCTGGTTTATCCCTGGTCCCTGGTAGTCATTCAGTTTGACAACCCCGGTATTTATTACCCTTTTTATGCTATTGGTGGGTCCCTCAGATAACCCAGCCACGTCCAGGGATATTGAAAGGGACTGCTGTTCAATTTCTAGGATTGTTTACTCTAGGACACCAACACGTAGTTCTAGGTTTTTGTTTGTTGTTTAGCAGTTCCTAATTTTCAACATCTTAAACTGTCAAAACCGCGAGGACACCGGTGACCGCAACGTATTGTTCTTTAATTGTGTCTATAATGACGGTACTCAAAGGGTTAATTTTGGCATTTTGATTTTTGATCGTTAGTTCTATTGAAGTCAGTTGCTATAGGAAACAAGCGAACTGTCAAGACTTCTAAATTCCCCACGATAAGCATTCTTCACTTCCCGATTGATAAGTTATTAACTTGTGATCTCATGTATCAAAAAACATTTAGCAAGAGAGTTCTATTTACTACGGGACATCTAAAAATATGCAACTAAATATTGTTATAGTTCTACTAGTTTTGATTTTTATGCAAAGAAAACTATAGGTTTCAGAGCAGAATAATATATTACTAAATAATGTAGTAATGTCTACTAAAACAATTTCCAGGCGACATCACCAGTGGCACCGCCTAACGCCCCTAACACTGGTAAATCTCAAACAAAGAGCGAGAAACGAAGCGGCAACACATTGTACCAAGAGCTCGCGTTCCAGGATGTAGATCCAGGCATTGCTGAAGGTGAAGACGCTGATATCACAGGTAATACATAGATAGTTAGTTAAACTAATACAAAATGAAATCTACGTAGTGTTAAATAATTAAACTATACTGAAATAAAACTAAAATATTTACAACTTAATAATTTATTTAAACAAAAGCTCTAAAACCACATCGAAATCTCATCATTATCGCGAGGTAAAGACTGGTAGCAATGCCACGTGGAAATATTTTATCTGTTTATTAAAAAATTCCCGGTTCGATTCCCGGGTCTGTCAAAGATTAATTACTGGTTTTTTTTAAAGTCTCAGTAGTAGCACGGAGTCTGGAAATGTGCCCGGTATATGGCAATAGGCTCACCGAAAAAGTGTATGTTATAAATAGAAAAGTGGGTGTTACATTGTACAGCGGTATTAAGTACCGTAATGTGCACCTCTGCATACCCCTTGGGGGGTAAAATGCGTTATATTATGTTATGGTATTAATAAAAACATGCATAATTTTACAGCTTAAGCCAATATTTTATGCAGGTTAAGTGATCTTATTATTGAATTGCAATGCTTAATCTTTGACCAAGGTAGTAAGGATATAGTGCCTAAGTATAAGAATAGTAATAAGTCTACAGCTAGTTCATTATTACAAGAACCTATAACTGAAAGTAAATACATATGAACAGTCTATTCACCGTCAGTACATAAAAGGCGTGTTGTTTTGTTATCTAAAACCAATATTGTACATGAATGAGTCGGTTAGGTATACTATGACTCGAGCGTGTACTGAAGCATCATGAGATTGAATTATACGAGCCGATGAACAGGTGTTAAATCTTTGTGTTGTAGCATCCGTATTCCGTACGACACTTGTACGAATAAACATCCAATATAGCTGTTCTTTAAAATTTGGCTAATTTGTATCGAATAAAATATTTTTGGAGTTTTCGATTTTTTGTCACTTTTTGCCTTTGGCGCTAGTGAGCTGAATGATCTTATTAACCAACGTAAACTGCTTTAAAAGTTGACTAAGTAGGTATTAACTAATATACTGATTTTTAGTACACTTGACAAGGAATCTCTTTGTAGTGAGCACACATAGGTCTGGTATAAGTATTGCAAACAAAATTTGATTTTAAAGATTCTAGATTAAGGTCATATATTAACTTCCAGAATTCTCTTTCTGTATACCTACTTATTTTAATATGGGCGTATGGTAGTGTCTTTACCCAAATAAGCATACTATGTTTATACAAACCCATAGATCCCCAAGCGGTCACCGGTGACCGCTCTCCACTAATATTACATTACATTATAGACCTTATTTGCAATGTTTAGAGACTACTTTTGTATGACCAAATCTAGGGGATGGATTTCAACGGGTTTGTATTTATTCAAAACTTTTCTCCCACTTAGTTCTAGTTAGAGTTATATTTCCACATTATGCAATTTTATTCAATTGTTTACAGGTAGTTGGGTGCATCCTGGTGAATACGCATCTTCTGGTAAGTGCTTCTGCCATATATATGCTAACCATCCATATAGACAAACTATGACATTTAACCTAGCATTTCATATTGGCCTTAGTAAATCAAGTTCATAATATAATTTCTGCGTTTACTGAAACATAATAATATCTAATTAGTCTCTCTTGATCAATGTTTTTGGAAATATGACATGCTAAGTATAATGGAAATAGTTTATCCATTATAGATCGTATCCTATAATAACAATAGCAGCTTCTATCTACTTATGTACTCATTTAATAGCAGCTTTTTATGTTACCTTTGGAAACTGAAAATATAATATTATGTAGTTGTTATCCCCTTATTTTTTTGTTATGGAGAGTGGTACATTAATACCTACGATACGTTAAAATACTTGTGATGGTTTCAAAAGAAATTTATACTAACTATACAATTTATATATGACGTAAAACATTCGGTTGATACGAAGTGTTTATTATTTTGTCATCAACTCATTCCAGCTTCTTAATGTTTAATGTATTATAATTTCAGCTTATAATTAAATTGCAAATTAATTCTTATATTGTTTTATATGCTGTATTGTTTCACACTAAATGATTTTATCAGAGTGGTTCTGTACTTTTTTCACAGAGTATTAATTCTCAAAGATATACACCAATAAATTATTTGGCAGCATGAGTAATGTCAAAGGAATAATCCGTGTGTACCATCATTACTCTAGTACCTATTTCATTAAAGAAAATCGTAATTGAAAAAAAAAGTTTTATACTTACAGTATTAAGCTTAATAAGTATTAAGCTGCACAAATTGCCTCAACTTATTACCTGTGATAAAACTACTAGCCATTATTTGTAAATATGAACCTTATATTATTATATTTCCGTTCTATCCTATATCCTTACACATTACGCCACTGAGTTCCTTTATGATTTTAGTTTTTGAGTTATTTTGTTTAACTTATTTGCTATTATATATTTGGATTTATGTTCTATGTATGGTTATGAGCAAGTAGCATACAATTTAAGTTGCAGTATTGAATACGATGTTGTTGCTTTGATTGTTGAAAGACTCAGTTTCTAGAATGTTCTGTGAAAGATATATAAACACTCATAGATTGAACTTCTAGAAACTGAGGGTAAGGAACGTTATTAAATGTAATAAAACAGGTTTTAAAACGTTAATGCAAGTCTTTATGTATTTGGTCCACATACTTTCTATGGACAGTTGCTTCTAGAAAAAGAGTCAGAAGCATAATTGAATAGTAAAGACACATTTCTTGATCAGTATGGAGACCAAGCGATGAAACATTGCTGTTTTAATCTCATATATGTTCATTTGTTACTAGAATATTACACCGATAGTGCAGTATTGTCCTTATAATATGATACAATTAATAGACGAAGAGAATGCTTGCATAAACGAATAAAATCATAAATGTAATATTAGTTATGCCTATGAACATACAAAGAGCTATAGAGAACCAGTATTTAAGACAAAAAGTAGATCATAGCATATTAATTGTTGCAATTTTTTGTTTACTTAAAGTGGCGTCGTGTGTGAGCATTTCAACTAGTTTTCTTTATTAATAAATTATCATACAATACTAATAACTGTACGTTCTATTTCCATGCGTTCTAACAAAATGTTGCATCAACGCATGATTGCAGTTAACGATAATTACTTCGGTAAGTAACTTGTAAAATATCAACAGATTTTCACTAATACTCTTCAAAATTTCATTCTAAAATTCGAGTTTTTAAATGAAATATGGCCTCACACACTGCGTCGCATTTAGTTGCAATATATACTGCCGTATAGACGTATCGTTGTTAGAGTATAGTGTTCCATTTATGTTGACGCGTTCAAATTGTTGTTGCTAACGCATGCGGCGAAGTGTGTGAGGGACCTAACGAATGCTTGCGATTTCCAAAGCGCAAGATGCAAGTAAGTAAAAGATTTGCGTAACTGTATTCACTTTTCAAATAAGCACATTAAAGTGATAAAAAATATAACTTTGATGTTTTTACTGAAGTTTTCGGTGACATCGATCTGCAGCACTTATCATTGACAAATAAATAAAAAATAATTATAAAGTTTTCATTACTGCACTCGCTTTAAAAATAAATCAAGTCTTTGAGAATACGAAACTTGAGACTAAACTTAAACCAACAGGAATGGGGAAAGAAGTGGAGAATCTGATCCTCGAGAATAACGAGCTGTTAGCCACGAAGAATGCGTTGAACGTCGTGAAAGATGACCTCATAGTGAAAGTAGACGAAATGATGGGAGAACTGGAAATCTTGAGAGAGGAGGTTGCAAACCTCAGCTCCGCCAGGGAGAAGTTACGTAACAGAGTCACCGAGTTAGAAGAGGAAGTGAGACATTTGAAGGTAGGCTGGATTTCAATTGGTTGTTGTATATTCAAAATACGAAATAATTATTCCATCTAAGGTAAAGGTTTCAGTGCTAGAAGTTGTATATCAAAAGTAACTTTTTCAAACTAATTTAAAGAACCTCTAAGCGTAATAAAGATTTTGGTTAAGTATATTCGTCTATCATTCTTCTTACTAAAATTTCGTGAGCAGTGTTGTTTAGTTGAGTGAGTTTGTGACAGGAGACGGTGAGCTCAAACGCGGGCGGTGGTGACAACAATGAGGACGAAGCCGATGTACCAATGGCGCAGCGCAGGCGCTTCACCCGCGTTGAAATGGCACGGGTCCTAATGGAACGTAATCAATACAAGGTTAGCCTTTCCTATGATGTCTATTTCACCAATGTTTGATGGTCTTAAAAATATATATGTCACAAGAAATGCTTTGTCGAAGAGAGAGATAGCGCAATATTAATTTTTGAGAATAAGATTTTAATTTTAGAGCAGCGATTAAAAAGAGTTCCTCGGCACTAATATCCGAATCTAAGGTGATCCTTTCATTTAATGTCTACTTTGCCGCTCAAGCTTTTTTATTTTTCATACCCCTGTGCACGTTGCTCTATAATCGTGTATGTGTGCGAGGTAGCCGTTATTTCAAAATGTTACTAATAATAATTCCGGTTTGTGTTATAGGAACGTTTCATGGAACTGCAAGATGCCGTTCGCTGGACTGAGATGGTGCGAGCCAGTCGCGTTGACTCTACTGTGGATAAGAAAAATAAGCAAACTATTTGGAAGTTTTTTAGTAACCTTTTCAGGTAAATATTGTGTTACATTGATGTTGGTACTACTGTACCACAGGCTAGTGTAACACGAACAAATCAAATATTAAGAATTGATTGCTCTGGCGCCAGTAATTGAATGCGTTATCAACTAAAATACTAACACAATAACGTTGAAAGTTGATTAAAGTAAGACGTTACCAAAGTAGCCATGTTAAACACTTGAAAACATTTGTAATATACCCGGTAATATACACCGTCTGGTGACGCCTGTTTTTCCCTGCTATGCGTAAATTAATAATCGACTTAGAATGTATTCATATGGTTATGGATAACAGATCAATTGCTGCTTTGCGTGTAACAATTTCGGTTTATGAACTGAATATAAATAACATGATTCTGTTGTTTGTCTAAAGTTATTCATTCATATTTGCGACATGTTTCCTGAACAAGTGTCTATTCCCATGACAGCTTCGCAATGTTTTATATAATAATGTTCTAAGGTCAATGCTATGCTATTATTATTCTGCTTTGCAAACATAGATTACAATTTGACTGTAAGTGTTGATCTAATGTTTACATAAAATGATACATGACGGTAAAGACTTAGCTTGCATTTCAATAATGAAATGGCCTTTAATGGCTGGCTTCTGGTTTAGGATAACATTAGAGGAGGCCTGTATTCGGCATCGGATATCTTACGGCTGCTGCTGATGACCCTTTATTTCCTTATATTAAACTTTTACTTTATGTACAATATGTATACAATGGCGTGCTTAATGCCGGATGGCATTTTCTACCAGCCAACCACTGGGTGATGCAGAGAAGTGTTACAGTAGGTTATAATTTGCTCCAGTTATAGCATGTTTATTACTGTACATCGAGGATAATTCCCGTCATCATACTATTACTGACAAATTTGAAACTAGGAAAACCTAAAGTAGGTTTGCTACATCTGAGAATTTATCTGGACATCCTCTTTGCTCAGCAGTCATGCTTGCAGTCACGGTCAACGAATGAATCGTGCATTCGTTATATTACAGTATAATATATGCGTTGCGATTATCATGATTCACATTACAGCAATTTTGTTTTTTTTTACAATTGCCAAATGCATTGTGTTGCAATAGTATGTGCTAATAGCGTGTGCGATTTTATTATACTTCTTACATTTACTTTGCTCACGTATGATACAAATTGCAGCGATAGCGTTTTGTTTTTTCTTGTGTCCGTCTGTTGCGAATAATTTGGCACAATAATTAGGATTGACGTTTGAACTTTCATGTTCTTTATAATACTTCTTGCTCAATTTATTTTCTTAGCTGCCGCGAGTAAGAAAAAAATCTAATTTTGCTGTGTAATAATTTTAATTAGATATTTTAAATACTTCACAACATTACTATCATCCCTTCTACTACACAAAAGGCTACGTGTAGACTCGATTACTATATACACACAACCGACTGCTCTGGATGTTCCGTATCCCCACAGAGTGCGATTATCCCCGCGCTGTGGAACTATTTCAGGATATAAAAGAGAATTTTAAAAGTAGAACACCCAATTACTTACTTTTTACCTTCCTTAAAATCGGATCATAAACAGGCTTACGATCAAAATGCATATTTTTGTCTACATAAACTACAAATTTGACTGGTACTATACCAATAAGAAATATATATAATTTCTTGAATTACGGCAAAGTGAATGACTAGCGGAGAGGCCAGCTAAGGCTTTACTTTCATAGTATAGCTAACTATATTCAAGCTTAATCATAAAACGCTGCGTTGCTACGCGAAAAATACACAATTGTGCATGTGTCATGTTTACCCTTTGAGTACCGTCATTATATACACAATTTAAGAACAATAGGTTGCGGTCACCGGTGTCTTCGCGGTGTTTTTATTAGTTTAATAAGGATTACTAAAATAACGATAATTATACGAACAAAACTGAGGAACATGAAAACGCATACAAGCCAGTCAGTCTTTAATTTATAACTGTATCTGAATAAATGGCTATCAAAAGCGAATGTGTTCGTATTATAACAAGTTTTTATGAATAGTCTTGTTGCCTAAGTGATCTCTAAAGCCATTGCCAGTCTTACACCCGAATACTGAAAGGCTACTCAATTTTAATTTGTACTATAAATGCCGATAATTTGCTAATTATTATGTGCTCATAAGCTAGCTTTGTGATAGAACAGTTGCGAAAGGCTTGTAAGACTTTGTGTAATTACATTCCATATTATCTTTTATTGTGTATCTCATCGTATGTTTTGATGGGAGAAACAGGCGTTATTAAATTTACCTTATAATCAATTCTTTACTGCTTAAACCGGATCTATCCTAGAATAACATGGCGTACGTTTCAATTGGAACATTGTCGTTTGTTTTAGTACCAGCGAACGTCCACAACGTCCATTATCAACGCCTCATCTTCGTGCGGTAGCGGCACCGCAACCCGCGCTGCGTCATTCGAGGACACAAGCCGACTTCTTCGAAACCCAGCTAACCGACCATCACCATTCTAGACGCCATGAAAGGAGCGAACAGTTCCGTCAGGTACGTGTGTAATTCCACTAAAGTACCCATGGCTTTTGAAAGGCTAAATTTGATACCATGTAAGGAGTTTGTTTTTCATTAAGATGGTCTTTAGACGCCAAGGGAAGGTGGAACTTCTGCCACCAGTCTTGCATTACATTGAGCTATGTCTGGCAAGATATTTGGATACGTAGCATGACTATGTTCCTTTAAACTTGAATGAAATTATATAGTACGCAAATGAGATAACCTATTTCCAGTCCCAGTTACAAAACTGGAACAGAAATCAAAGAATAAAAAAGTAAAACATAATTAAGTCTCATATACCTACATTTTAAACTCAAAACGCAAGGTATTTTATTTTAAGATGCCATTTTGATGTGGCTAGGCTGTTAAGATACAAATATATATTTTTAAGTATCGAATTAAATTTATAGCAAAGATTTTACAATGAGGCCATGAATTCGAACGCGTACTATATAAATAAAATAAAATGATCCGACCTTTTCAACGAAGCAAAAGTTGTTAATAATGTTCATAGCAATATGATGAGATCATCTATGAATAACGATTGAAGGCATATCCTTAATCAATACTGCTGCATTGTTTTGCTTCCTTGAATAAAGAAAGGGACGTCTGTGTATTTTATATTGAATTGATTGATACATTCATAAACTTGCATTGGTCTGTATAAATAAGATCTGATACATAAATATCCTTGTGCAAACCGCTAATGTTTGAAACATACAACTTGGGTGTTTTCAAGTCCCAAGTGAATAGATTACTCTTATGTAGGTGACGTGCTTCATCTTCGGCCACATTATCGTTTACCACCCGGCAAGACGGTGACCAAACGCCATCCTATTATATATGAAAAAACTTATTATTGATACGGCAAAGAGATTTTATGTATAAAAAAATTATTTATACAAACCAAATGCATGAAATAAGATTTTTTCTGCCGCTGTATATATCCTGTGCCGTTTTCCTATATGCTATCCAATACTATTAATCTTTTATTATCTATGTATTATATTGGGCTGGAATTTAAGCTTTTATACACTGAATTTTTAGCGATCACAATGGTATTCAAAGACTGGCGTTAGTAAAAAAAAATGTGAAACTTAAAAGATACACATAAGCCAGCAACCATTGATAGATATCTTAATATCTATATCTTTCCTAATATTATTAGATAATTAATTATACTTTTATTTTAATCGATTCAAGTAGCCTAAAGTCTCAATTCTTATACACAAGGTAATCCCACAATACCTTTGTAAAACGGCAAAAAATTCAGTGTATATCCTTTTGTCTTCTATTAATATTTATATAACAGTCTGTGCTTTATTTTTATTTTCATATTCTATATATATTTGATATTTATTTATTTGCACGTTATTTTTAACATAGATACGTATTCGCTATACATATGCCACCTCGATTTCGTCACATAGTAAAAATGTAATTGACAAACGGAAACATTGTGTTTAAGTTATTTAAATAATAATAAATATAAGTAGGTATAGCAATGGAGTAAAGTGAATAGTTATTTTGTAAAGTGAATATTTAAAGTTAGAAGATATCTAAAGAGGTTGAGTTTATTTTCATTTATTTGTTTTATTACTAGATATAAGTGAAATATGGGGTATCGCCTTCACTGTTAGCCATTAGAAGCAATATCATAGGCGTTGCTTATATAACATTACAGTGCAAAGTTTTAAACACAATATTAGTTTTTACGATGCGCAGAAATGGAAATAAACAGCTTATAAATTGAAATACAGGTCTCATTTATTTTTACAAATAGTAATTCGAACACTACTTTATCTTATAGTGATGTCACGGTTCGTTTCCAATTTCACTGCTAGTAGTTCACTCATCCGCGTAGAGAGCTAGCCTTCACCAAAGCTTCTGCTACCCTTCCGCGACGCTTTTCAGTTCACCCGACCATCCCATCATGTGTGTTGTTTTGACCTCTCGTTGTGTGTGCCAACTTAAATCCCAGTGTTCTGTTTGTGTTTTGTTTTCATTTCTTCCTCTCCCTGTACCTAATTTTCCTCTCCTTTCTTTTGTTTACAGCAGAATCAATGACGGCACGATTTCAACTTTATTGAACAGTGCTAGTGACATTAAGTGATATTAGAAATAGGCATGTGTATAGTGTTATTACGTATTTATAGTTATTTTTTTTTAATTTTAATCCCTAATTAAATATACGTACGTTTATATTTGTGTTTGTTTTTACCTGCTTTTCCTTGGAATCCCTGCTTATTTGTATGGGTATGTGACACTGCGTTGATATCGTACACATGTGCGTGTGTGTGCGTGTAGGTGCGGGCTCACGTTCGCAAAGAAGACGGGCGCACCCAGGCTTACGGTTGGAGCTTGCCGAGCAAGAGCGGTCAAGGGCCTAAAGGACCCAGCTCTTGCACCTCACTGTCATCTGGCGGGGTCCCCGTACCCGTGCCAGTGTTTTGCAGGTAAGTAATAATACTATTATTTACTTTATATTTTTGTAAGTCATATTTCTTATGAATACAACTACTACAGAGTATATTATACTATAATATAAATTCATACATATTATAAATAATTGAAACTTATTCATCAAATGAAATCTTTGGAATATCTAGTTTTACTAATATGTTGAAAATTTTTACTCAAATAAATTTTATACATTTCAGACCAATAGCAGAAAACGAGCCTCGTATGACGCTGCTATGCGCCGCTGCGGTCAATCTGAACGGAGGCCGAACCCCCGACGGTGGATGTATGGTTGGAGAGAGCGTCTTCTATGCGAACCCAGAGGATAAAACTGAGAACACCATGTCGCTTGGTAAATATACCTCCTTTATCGTTATTATCATCTTAACAATGACAAGTCGTTGACTTCTGATCATGGGTTAATTAAATGCTATCGTACCTAATGTTAATTCAGCATTGATAAATAAATTAACTAGTACTACGTATTCTATTCTGTTAGACCTACTTTTTCGGGACTAAGATAGCTTAAAATAACTCTCCGACCTCTATTTTATGTGATTTAAATTTAAGCCGGTAAGCCGGTAAACGAGTAGACGAATCACCTGATGGTAAGCAATCGGCGTCTCCCATGGACACCTGGAACACCAGAGGCGTTACAAGTGCGTTACCGGCCTTTTGGGGATTAGGAGTTTGAGGATCGTTGGGGATTCAGGAATTGGGGAGATTGGGGAAGGGTAGGGTAATTGGGCCTCCGGTAACCTCACTCACACGACGAAACACAACGCAAGCGTTGCTTCACGTCGGTTTTCAGTGAGGCCGTGGTATCACTCCAGTCGAGCCGGCCCATTCGTGCTGAAGCATGGCTCTCTTACACTTAAAATATAAGGCAGATCTGTCTATACTTTCGCGGAACGAAAAATGTAATGATACTGAGCTTTTAATGATGTTGACGTGATCAAGAGCACTATGTATAGAACATAGTTACAATTACAAAGCTGCCATGACATTAATAAAAACATTTTAACAAAATAACAACCTACTCGTTCTTTTTAAAGTCGGTTAAAAATCATTTTAATACGGCTACTTCTTTTTAAAGTCGGTTAAAAGCATTTTAATGCGGCTACGGCATACGGCGGCTTGCATTTATCTTTGGTCTTTGTACCAATGTGCTGACTTTTTCCAAATTATAATATGTATTTTATAAGATTACTAGCGACCCGCCTTGGCTTCGCACGGGTGCTTAATGTGTGTATTATACACATAAATCTTCCTTAAGAATCATTCTATCTATTAAAAAAACGTATCAAAATCCGTTGCGTAGTTTTAAAGATCTAAGCATACATAGGGACAGACTGACGGCGGATAGCGACTGTTTTATACTATCTAGTGATTTAGACACCACTGACAAACAGTGTGTGTAGTGTATAATTCTTATTTATAAGTTTGGAATCATCATCCCGCATTGAGCAAGCATGATGATAATTGCTCAAACCTTCTCCATGTGAGAAATGGGTTTGGTCAGCAGTGGACATTTGTAGGCTGTTGATGATTATGATGATGATTGTCGCATTTTGTTATAGCGTACGAAATGAACAAGGCTCAGTCGGTGCATTCGCCGGAGGTGGAGGAAATAAACCAACAGTTGCAGTCCACGCAGAGCGTCGAGTATACAGAGAAAAACCTATCGTCTCTCGTTTGGATATGTTCCAGCAACCAAAATAAAGGGATTGTTATGGTAAGATTTCTGAAGTACTGTTTTTCACCTTCATCTATGTTTAGAGTTAGTGAATCATTAGCCATTGAAACTGTTCTAATCTTGATATAAAAAAAATAAGTCTATATCTGTGTAAAACTGAAAAATATAGGTGTCTAAACGGGTAATTTTTGGTTGCATTATGATCAACTAATTGTGTAGTCATATTGATTTTAATGGTTATAGCAAAAATGTATTGATTAATGACTGGGATGTCACTACTACGGTCGCATAGTATTATATTATGTATGCAATATTGCCGACTACAGTGTACGGAAACTATGAGCTGTTTAAAATCTATTAAAACGTCTTGATTCTTTATGACATTACTGAGAATTTAATCGAGGAGACTAACAATACTTTGTTTGACCATACTCAACTTATCATAACATAACATCACCCTTTTTATCCCCGAATGGTGAGGCAGAGGTGCAAATTACGGCACTTAATGCCACTGTATTCTACTGAGTTACATGAACACCGACTTTTCACTATTTATGTTATGAATCCCATGTAATTAAGGCTATTGCCATATACCAAGCACAATTTCAGACTCCGTGCTACTACTGAGATTTTTTTTAAAACCCAGTAATACTTTGCCCGACCCGCGATACCAACCCGAGACCCCTTGCCCGGCAGTCGCACTTGCGACCACCTGGCCAACGAGGCAGCAATTTATTACTTTCTATAATTATAAAAATTCTTCTAGATTATCGATGCGAACAATCCGGCTGAGGTTATTGAATCGTTCCCGGTGACTGACAAACACATCCTGTGTGTTGCGTCTGTGCCCGGCGCAGTCGCTGAAGACTATCGCGACTACCAAGAAAGAGCTGCGGGAGCCGTTGATAAACGACATACTGTAAGTAATAATATTTATTGTAACATGTACGATGAAATTGTCGGATATTTATTGATAAAAATCCTAAATACGAATAAAAAAGACGAAATAATACTATATTTCGTTCTCTTTATGTAGTAGGTTTTGTTTGACATATAGTTTATCCAATACCTATGCATTGTGATGGAAAACTATTGTCTAACTCAGTTTATTCTCTTCCTATTACATCACATCTTATCACAAGCTGGAGACAATGTAGACTGTCTTCTTATGTGTCTTGTGTTGCCCATAAGCCACAATGCCCATAATATGGAAACTGAAGATTTCGTGGCGAGTATGGCAAATCTTCTGATCTAAAAAGTGGCCTATAGTCAAACAGTGAACGGTTACGACTTGATGTATTGTTTTAGATATGTTGTATTATTAACTAGCTTCCTAAACTGTTTCCTTGTTACAGTATGGTTTCGGCGCCGGCAGGGTAGATTCCGTTGACGTACACAATAAGCCTAATGTCACCGACGAGAATGGCGACTCAGACACGTTTGTCGTTGGAACTACACGCTTAGTAAGTTTTTAATCTTATACTCTTATACTATTATATAAAGCGGAAGAGTTTGTTTGTTTGAACGCGCTAATCTCCGTAACTACAAGTCTGATTTGAATAATTATGTTTGTTTTGGATAGCGCATTTATCGGGGATGGCTATAGGCTATAAAATATCACACTACGACCAATAGGACCTAAGCAGAGCGTGTGAAACCGCGCGGAAGTAGCTAGTAGTCAATATATTTTTGCAAAATTGTAGGAAATATATTCGAGGGGGCAGTGAGTCCATATTTTAAAGTATCTCACTATGATGGTCAGTCTACCTACTACTACTACTACTTTGACAAACCCTCGGTGTATAAGTGTGTGCGCAAATACTGATGCATTCTTCTTTCTGTAACAAGTTGCATAGGCACCAGTCACACAGCCACACAGTCAGTGTGCCAATAGGGCCGTCGATATATTTATCCTTACTATATAATATAATATTATAATAATATTATATTATAAATCTGAAAGTGAGTTTGTTTGTTTGTTTGTTTGTTCCACCATCACGCCGTAACTACTCAACCGATTGCTTTGAATTTTTGCAGACGTAAAGTTAGAAGTCCGGATTAAATAATAGGGTACTTTTTAACCCGGAAAAAATTGATATTCCCGAGGAAAAATAAAAGTATTGGTATAGATGGCGCTGTGTGTATTGGTATATGTCACATAGGCTATTTTTTATTTTTTTGTGACGCGAGCGAAGCCGCGGGTAAAAGCTAGTGAATATTATAAATTTCAGGTAAAAGCAACGATCTTGACACCGCCGAGTACACCAGTGAATGAGCCCGAAACTGCACCAGAACCTCAGAATCAAGAGACACCCAAAAATAACGAGGAACCTGACTCTGTACACCCCGACAGTCCGCCACTCAGCTCCACACCTATCAATGGTAAGCATATGTATTTAAGATCAACGAACTACAAGAAACATTCAATTTTTAAATACATGTTGAACATTTCTCTTCCAAAAGCACATTGAATTTTAACTTTTTAGTTAGTTATGCGTCTGTATTGAGGATGTCTGAGTTCTGAGTGATACATGGACTTATATTATAACTTACGTATTAATTGAGGCTCTATCCTATCACAATAACTATTAAATACTTTTGCCGAACCGAGATAATCATTACTATTAAATATACTTTAAAATTTGGGAAAAGTAGTTTTATTACAATGTGTATAGTCAAATATTTTACTGAAACAGTCTGTGGGCCAATCATACCCAAAAAGCAGACAGAGCACTGCGCAATTAATATAATAACGCCTTCAGGACGCTGTTGAGGCTTCTACCTTACACTACAGTAGTAGGTACTACGTCAGGTATGTTCGTGGATGCGCACACTGATTATTTCGCGATCAAGCGCAACAAAGTAGCATCAGTTTTGAGCATACTGAAGGGAAGCAGCAACAACGTTCTGAAGGTGTTTGCAGAAAGGCTAGAAGGACCTACAATAGATAGATTTATCAAGCTGCATGTAAGATTTATTATAGTCCGCATATTCGTAAGATTTTCCTAAAACATGTATGTTTCTTATTCCTAGGAGGTCTTTTGAACTCTCCCGAGCCAGGGGTTGAAGCATTTGCTCAGCAACAATCAAAGACGGAGACGCAACCGGAGCAGGAGCGCAAGATGTCGACTGTCATGGCGACCATGTGGCTAGGCACTAAGAGTGGCAACCTCTATGTACATTCTGCTGTTGGAAACTACAAGAAGTGCTTAGCCAGGTAAGAAAATGAAATAATTTCTTTGTTAATTTGAGATAATTAATTTATGTTTTATCACAGCAATTGAAAAAGTTCTGATTTTTGTATCCTTTTTTTCAAAGATTGGTATTTTGTACACATACTTTATCTCAATAATAAATGCAGAATGATTTGGTAATTGAGAGTTTCTGCGGCCCAAATGTTTCGACGATTAATTGTTAATAATTTTAACTGTATTATTTTGTTTATTACAGAGTAAAGCTAAACGATGCCATATTATCCATAGTGGCTTGCGCATCTCGAAGCATTGTAGCGCTCGCTGACGGCACCGTAGCAATATTCTCGAGACACGCGGACGGACAATGGGACTTTGGACAGTATTGGTTGCTCACCCTGGGTGACCCTAAATGTTCTGGTAAGTTCATGTCAGGTATTTTTATTGTCATAATAGTTTGGTCTACTTCTTAGACGAACAAACGTGTCACTATTAAAAATATGTTCCCAGTTCGCTGTCTAAGCGCCGTGGGCTGCACTGTATGGTGCGGCTACCGTAACAAGGTGCACGTCATAGAACCTCGCTCACGTCTGTTGCTGCATTCGCTGGAAGCTCATCCGCGGCAGGAGAGTCAAGTAAGACAGATGGCCTGTGACGGGGATGGAGTCTGGGTAAGTCATCACAAGTAATAATTAACTCCATTAAAACTTATTGAAAACAACTTGTAACCAACGACCTCGTCGATTCGAGTAAGTAAGTAACGTTTTCAATTATGTTTAATTTCAATTGAATATTTTTATTTTGTTTTAAAATTTTGAAGTGAATCGTTGTTAATTTTTTGCTTAGAATGTACTAAAATATTTTGAATTATCAGGTTTCAATCAAAATGGATTCCACCCTGCGTTTGTATCATGCACATACATACCAACATTTGAAGGATGTTGATATTGAGCCGTACGTGAGCAAAATGCTGGGTACTGGGAAACTTGGCTTCTCCCTAGTCAGGATCACAGCTTTGTTGATTAGTTCAGGGCGGCTCTGGATTGGTACAAGTAACGGCGTTGTAATATCGGTGCCGCTCTCAGAAGGATCTAGTCGTGATTCCATCGGACCACAACCGTCTACTTCACGGTCGCCCGCCCAAAGTAAGTAATGTAACTAATTAAAAGATAGTAAAGAATCCAGGATGAAAACGAACAAAATAACAGTCTAATTCATGCAAAAAATCTACGTTTAGCAATCGACTTCAATCGCTTACCACCAGGCGAGATAGTGGCCAAACGTCGGCCCATCAAATATATAAAAGAACCTCCTCGTTTTTGAAGTCGGTGAATTAATATACTAAAACCTTTATCTAGGTGTAGCAGTTTTTTAAAAACTGCATCAAAATCGGTTCAACCAGTTGCGAGATAGTCGCGCACAAACATACATACATACAGTTCAAATAGAGAACCTCCTTTTTTGAAGTCAGTTAAAAATGGATAGAAGGCTAATTTAGGATTATCACTACCCTAATACTTAAATTAATTATTTTGTGGGTATACTATGTACTACAGTGTCTTTGTCTTAAACTACAGTGTTATATACATTTTGCAGCTGCCATAGCCGCCTGTCCGACTGGCAATATTCCATGGTGTTCGATGGCCCATGCCCAACTAAGCTTCCATGGACATCGTGACGCCGTTACTTTCTTCGTAGCAGTGCCCGGAGTGGCTGGATCCCCCGCACGCACTCCTGAATCTCCTCGAAGGCATTCGCCGACCATACCACCCATGTTGGTCATATCGGGTGGTGAAGGATATATTGATTTTAGAATAGGTATGTACCATTTTCTTTATTTATTTATATGTATGGTTTAATACGCGTTTTAGCAGGGCCCCTCGTCATTTCGAAAAATGTCAAATTAATTTCCCACATTATTTTTAGCACAATTTCATTTGCTTAGATATAACTTAGCAGATAAATTATTTATAAAAATTTGTTACCCAATGTTTGGCAAGTGAACATAAACAGTTACCTTGCTTGCCACTAGCAAGTGTGATTTTCCATGACATAGACAAATACCTGTGATGCCAGTTGTATATCATTCACGAAATAAAATAAATATCTAAAATTATTCTCTATTTTCGATATGACTGTGGTTGTTTGTCAGTTCAACAGAGACCCGCATAGCGGGGTTCCTATTTTTCGACCGCAGGGTGTCCCTGACGTCGACGGTCATCGTAGATTATTACCCATAATCATATTTTGCTATTGACCAAATCCCTTAATTACATTTTGTTTAGTTATATTTGACGAGTGATATATTAACAAATGAAATTGTGCCTACTAAAATTACACCAAAAATTGTATTGACACAAAAAAACTTGTTCGGATAGTGATAAATAGTAAATAAAAATTGATGAAACGCAGAATCCCATCTTGGTATATGTATGTCACATTCAATCTGTTATGCCTGTCTAATTAACATAATTGTCAGTTTCTACATTCTTATAAATGACTAGTCATGATTTATTGATATGAACATAGACTTTTCTCAAGTTTTTTTCTAAGAACAAACCATGTCTTGCTCAAACTTGTACTTTGATAAACAAAGTTGTTGACAAAAATTGTCTTATAAATTAACGAATAGATTGAATGTGATAAAACGAACATCCCACTCGTGATGACAGTTTCTGTTGTTAAAACCTCGTTACTGATACTCGTCAAAATAAAACAATTTTCTTGGACAATTTGTAAAGAAAGTAACTAACCAACAATGTCACTAATACATGTGTTAATGTTAGTAATATAATCATTGTGCTGCTATTAAATCATTTTATCATTAACCTGCTAATTAACTTGTCATTGTTCAATTAAAATGTTTCATCGTGATGAGCTTTCTGTGAATCGATAGTTTTTTACATAACAGATACATTTGTAGGTGGCTATGGCTAGCCGTATTTTCATACCTCGAAAGTAATAGAAAAATCAATGAATGAGTCTTTTCATTTACAATTAAATTAATTATAATTATGATTATGACAGTTAATACGATAGTTGCCAGGGTATGAAAATTAAAAATCTAATTAGTCCGTTAGTTAGAAAATGGAAATCTATTAGACACGTTTTTTTTTTCTTATACTGTTACAAAACTTAGATAAAATGGAGTTAAGTTTAGGTCGTTACGTCTCAACGTGCTAGAACAGAGTGCCTAGCACGAATAACTATCGCATTCGTAACGTAATAGTATCGAGCGCGTTCGGCGCTCTGATTGGCCGGCTCAAGTAAACCAACCAATCAGAACGCTTAACTCGCTCGATACTGTTACGTTACGAATGCGATAGTTATTCGTGCTTGGCACTCTGAAGCGTGTTGTGACGTTACACGATATTTCAAATTAATATATCCTCGGAATTATTTAATTGTGTAAGAAAAGAAAAAAATGCGTGTCCAATGTTTTTAATTAAACTACCAGACGGACATTAAAATAAAGTTTAGGAAACAACCATATTGTTAGAAGTTAATCATTTTCTATGCAATTCAGTCATTAAACCGTACTATAATTTACACCAAACGAAATCATAATGTAGATCTTTATAATAATATGCTTATTTCATGATAGTCTTTAGAGTTAGACAAATATTTTAATACAGTTATTCATCACTTCATCAGACATACAAATTAATTAAATTGAATAGTAGTTTCATGAATACTTGTGCATTATAAAGCATTTAGTAAGGTTTATTTTTAACATAATCTCTAATAGATTGACTCCCGAATACTGAAAGGTTACTCAACTTTAAGTTGTACTTAAATGTCGTGCTATCTCTGTCAATTTATAAAGAACTAGCTACTTCCGCGCGGTTTCACACGCTCTGCTCAACTCCTATTGGTCGTAGTGTGATGTTTTATAGCCTATAGCCATCCTCGATAAATGCGCTATCCAACACAAAAAGAATTATTCTAATCAGACTTGTAGTTACGGAGATTAGCGCGTTCAAACAAAAAACAAACTCTTCAGCTTTATAATATTAGTATAGATTTATAGTGACAGAACTGTACTTAACCGCGACTTCAAATTGAGTGGCGTTTGTGTATTTCAGCATGACGTCACGGTATCATAAATTTACAGATTGAGATTACAACAATAGGGCCTATCGTATTTTTACGCGCTTTAGATGGCGCTAGTGTGCTAGTGCCCTCTCGTAAAGTTCTTCGTCCAATAAAGAAATAGCTAGTGTCACACCATTGGACGTTCAATATTTGACAGCTGCTGTGATTTGACTAAAATACCCATAGCCACATTTGCGCCATCTAGTGAGCAAAAAAACGTTGGCCCCCATTAGAGTCACAATAATTACATAACCATTTCATTTTTTAATACAGATTACAGTCACATCGACAAAAACATAATAAAAGCGCTAAGTATTCAGAAATGGCTCGCTGCCATTGCAGCGGTAAGTCCCCTCTTTGAGGAGTGGCTTGAGAGACGCTACGGCGTCCTCACCTACCGCCTGACGCAGGTCCTCACCGGACATGGAAGTTTCGGGAGGTACCTGTGTCTGATGGGGCGGGAGGAAACGCCCGGGTGTCATCACTGCGAGGACCGCCCTGAGGACACGGTGGAACACACCGTAGCGGAATGCCCTGCGTGGGCTGAGCACCGCCGTGCCCTCAGGGAAGTGATCGGCGATGGCGACCTCTCGCGTCCGGGCCTAGTGCGGGCCATGATGCGGAGCGAGGGGGACTGGGATGCCGTCTCCTCCTTTTGCGAAGCAGTCATGCTAGCTAAGGAGGAGGCGGGACGCGTGAGGCAGCGAAGCGCTGCCTCCTCGCGACCCAGCCATCGCGAAGGACACACCGGGCGTCGGGGATCGCGGGACGATCTCCGGCCACCGTAAGCGCGGGCCTGCGGACGGCGAGCATGGGTGGCTCCCCGTCCGACCAGAAACAGACCCGAGCGTACGGCGCGTCGCGTTCCGCGCGCGCCTCAAAGAGCCATCAGACCACCACAGATGGGGCCCAATAGGGCCGATGCCGATTCGGAGTCGCGGAGAACCTAACGGGTAACCGGGGCTCCGGCTCGACGTGCAGGAGAAGGAACGGGGTGGTTTTTAGTCAGTAAGAGTCTGACACTCCCTTCCGCCTCACCCAGGCGGGAGCAGTCATTCGATGATTTTCCCCCCTTAAAAAAAAAAAAAAAAAAAAAAAAGTATTCAGAAATCGTTAATGAAACTCAGTCAATTATAAGCTATTTTAAAACAATTTAAACAAGTCAAAACAAGCAATATGCACGTTAGTGTAGACACTCATCCCCATTAGTAAGCTTCGCTTAGTAATAGTAGACTTACTTAGTAATACGCTTGTACGCTTGTAAGCATAGTCTTAAGACTGGTTCTATTTAAACGCAGGAGTTTTATCATAAGGATTTGTGCCTATTGTTTGATTTGAATTCCAGGTGTTTTCTACTAAAATTCGTTTTTTTTTGTTATTTTGTGTTTCTAAATTTCATTTTATGTCTAGTTTTTATTTGAATATTACACTCTCTTGAACTGTAAAGTAATTATCACTAGCCTAAAGATTATATTTGGAAGACTTTTTAATGCTCTTGCTCTTAAGTATATAGTAAGTTATTGTCACATTGAACGAGTATCATACGCAATTGAGTAAAATCTCAACTAACGGCTTTAGTAGAAAACGCCGTCATAGGCATAGTACAGTTAATGATTTTAATTTCCCCGGTTTTTTTCTTTTGCCGATATAGAAGAACACGCTGATGACTTGCGCGACACTGCCTCCCACCTCATTGTTTGGCAAGTTCTAAGAGAGTCCTGAACGTACCTGAACGTAGCATAATTAATTAATATTTATTACTGGTACGTTGAATTTTAGAATAAAACCGCCGATGTTCGCTTGCTGACACATAACACCAAAGCTAACATGAGCATGTAGTTCACGGTAATCATCGACAGTGGGTCTCATTGAGGTTTTGACAGTTATATTACTGTATCATTTCGTATATAAGTTTAATTAGATTTTTCCTCGTCTTCAGATTAGAAGTTTGTAGGAAACAAATACTTATTCACAGCTCGTAAATGGTGTTATAAACTGTTTCTGTATGTAACATAAGACGTCTCTGTCAAGACCTCACCTTCATATCATGAGTTCACACATATCAGATTCATTCTAACTTACTCACCACTAAACCATCACTAACAGGTCCTCGGTGTAACACTGTCCATCAGAAGGTGAGCACGATGTTACATAATTCTAGCTTATCAATTATGTATGTCTTAATATATTGCTAACGTGTATATTGCTAATACCAGTATGTATAGACGTGTAAATATTAACAGACAATGTTTATGTTTGATGTACTACAGAGTAGTTCGACGATACTTAACAGCAATTTCGAAACTGTTACATCTCTTCGCTTAAACAATAAAAACTATATAAACGTAAATAACTTTGAAATTCTGAAAGATTACTGTTGTTTTTAATTTTGCCATGTTTTAGCTAAAGTTTTGGAGATCAGCAGCAGGAATGGAGTTGTTATAAGAAGTATACAGTTAGTTTATTACGCATAATGTGTAACATTTAATCGCTTTCTCACGTGTTTCTTAGAGTGATTAGAGCACTTCGTAAAATACGTGTTAGAGAGCAACTGTTGGAGCGCCGTCTTTATTGTGAACATTATTTTGTTGTCACTGCAAAAGCACCACATGTATTTTTACTGTGTCATCATTTTTACACATTGCCATCGTCGTTTGTTATTTGGTTATGTGCTCTGTTATTATTATTATTTTTTCTAGACATCTCTCATACCTGAGGTGGTCGATGGTAAATGCAGGTGCATACTTACACGTAACAAGGGGAATGTGTGATGTATTATGTCGATGGAGAAGACTGGTACTACAATGATGATGTTTATAATAAAACGTGATTTGTTTCATTTGCAGCCGACTCGGAAATGGAAGACAGTGTAGTAGTCGCGGAGGACGGATCATCGAGTGGTCACAGTTCTTTGGCCGACCGGGCTTCCAAGAGCCATTTGATAGTGTGGCAAGTTGCGACCGCCTAACGCAGGGCCAGCCGTGTGCGACTTGACTCCGATTCGGACTATGTGTATGTGTGTACGTCCACCAAACCAGCGACGCTCATCAACGCGTAAGTTACATCATAATTTTATGATGTAAATAGGACGACGGTTATGGAGATGCATGGAGTAGACATGTTATTATTTTGTAAAGTTGAACAATATTATGTGCATGAACAGTAGCAGTGTTGTTCAGTCAGTGTCAGATGTATTGGGATATTCAGGTTACAGAAGCAACCAGAACACCAAAATATCGGTACACAGTACATATAAAGTTACCATTTATATAGCTTCACCCAAAGCGTCGTAAATATCTGTACAGTGAAACACAATTTTGGCGTTTTGGTTGCCTCTGTACCTTTGAGCATCCTGAATGTTCCTATGTGTTAGATGCTGACTGTAGTAGTTATTTAGTTGATGTCTATTTTGATACTACTATATGTTTAGTTACCTTTGTTATTATTTAAGTGAATGTCTTATTTTATTTGTAATTATTACATCAAGTTATTATGTATACTATGATAAGTCACAAAACCATACTAAAGAGTAAGTTTAACGGCTCAACATGGAGCCTAGTATAGGTAATGACTAATATGTAATAGCTTAATGTGAAAGTTTTATCTGTTTATCTGTTAGGTCTATGTTCACCAATGTGTTGTATCCAGTATTTAGTTCACTTTTATGCTCACATCTCCAAACCGTCGAATCGGATCAGCGAAGTGTCGGTCGATCAGTATTTTCAGTAATGTTTTATATCTTAGGAGTTCGGTTGCAATCGCAATTAGGAATTGATTTATGTGTTGGTCCTTCGTATCCATTTTTATCCTATTTGACATTACTTATTAATATAGGATATGCGTGTATCTGGAATTGATAATATCAGAATTATGCTGACATTCGTTATATCTCGTCTTAGAATAGTTTATCAGTATAAACTCTATCATGATATAATGTAAGTCTCTTAAAGTCATCTAAGAAATTAGTTCCCGTAAATGTAAGTTCATACATATCCTGAATTAATGAGAAATGTGTAACTAAATGTGTTGATCATGTCACTACACACGCCATCACTCGTCTGCAATCGATGTCTCACACGGCATTATACTATCTGTCATACACTACTACATTGTATCATTCATATAGTACTATGTGTGCTTAATATTTAGCTATATTTCTTGGCGCTATAGTCCTTAATATTGCTCACGTCAAGAGTCGTTTGGCCGAGGGAGACATATTTTCTTTACATCACGTCCACCTCGGTACAAGCTTAATCTCATTAAAATTATGTACAAGATGTAACCACCAAATAATACGTTTTAGTAGTGTTAGTTAGATTAAATGAATATATTGAACATTTTTATAATATAGGTACGCAATAGTAATTAACTTCTCAAGGAATGTGACCATTTGAGCTGTGGTTGTCATCGGCATCACAAGTTTAGAACTTTAATTTATTATTAGAATTTTATTTTATTATGTAAAGAAATGAAATTATTATTTTAGAAGTGTTTCGGTGTACTTGCGTTCATTGACTATTATTGGTATTAGTGTTCAGTTTTATCTGAAACATTTAAAAAAAATATATACACAGAATGATGAATTTGTAATCAAATTTCTTCGAATACAATTTTGTATCAGTATGATATAGGAATGACTTGGAAAGGAGATACGTTGTATCAAGTACTGAACTATAGTCGTCACAAAATAAGAGGTCAACTCTGACATTTGTCAGTCTATGTCAGTAAATAGAGTATATTGCAGTCTACAAAATACCATGAACAGACACTTAAAAAGTTTCTAATTCATAATATTTATTTGTTACTACGTTACTCATACAAATATGTTTTATAACTATCAACATATATGACAATGCGAAGTATGACCAGTTGTTCTTAGTTATTCGTTTCCAGATCGATCGTAGGTAATTCATATATACAAAAATAGGATATTTTAATAGATCTGGTATATGAACTTTGTATTACAAAATATTTCAAAATGAAATATCAACATTATTTGGTTTAATTTAATGGTTTGGATCTTTGAAAAAACTATTTCGTCTACATTGAATGGTTAATGTTTATGTTATTTTGAAAGTTCTTGAGATATTGCTATAGATTTGGATCTGCAGATTAAAAACTATTATTTTAACTCTACATAACTTTGAAATCGGTCATAAACAGCGTCCGATCTTATTTACCTCTCCCTTCATGGCAGCTGTCAGACTTGACCTCTTATTTTGTGAAGAGTATAAACTATGCTTATGTAATATAATTAATTTATTAAAAAATGACATGAAATGTGTATACTTAATGAATTACAACGCAAGTGCACCAAGACAAGGTAAGTTGTAAAGTTTTATTTTGACTGACATAACATTTGCTATTTAATTTTATTTTTTTTGCTGGTGTTATTTTTTTTTATTAAACGACTAATGGTGCATAAATAGATTAGGTATATATTGTATTTACTGTGGCACATGTGAATGTAGCCTTCAGTAATGTTTGACACTTTATTGACATTTATATTCTTCTATACTGATGAAATATACTTCTAGGCCGCGCGTTACATGGAAAGCGGTTCAGGCACGGGCCCTGGTTTCGAACTTTTCATAATTACTTTCAGGTTTCAAACTCGTAGTCAAAGAGTTCTTGCCTAAAGTCTGTTCGAACTTTAGTTCCCAGTTTCTCAGTTTTATCAATTCAATTTGAAACTAATACGTGCCAGTTGCCGTGTTGATCAAATCAAACGACATACCACTTTCATATACTTTGTTTCATAAAAGAAACCTACTTACTGACGTTTGACATTTAAGTTAATGGGATTGTAGTAATGATGGAATCGTGTAAAATATCAATTTGGTTATTTTTAACGATCAAGTCTGTATATAACCTATATTTGATCACCATGGCAACTGGCATGTGTAAGTTGCAAATTCATTTGATAAGCCTTTGAGAAACGGGCTTGTGCCCAAATCTGAAGCACATTTCGTGTAACGTCAGCATAATTTTTATTTATAATCACATTAAAATATTTTTGTATATACTTTGGCACATTTTCCCCTCGATGTGTACTCATATTATATTGGAAATTATTATTATTATAGAGGTTTAATTAGTGCTATATGAAATCATAAAATAAATATATTAAGTTATTAAACAAAAGATTACAGCAAACGCTGGTTGAGGGTGGAATTATTTGAATGAAAACAGCTTCTTAGCGCATGTGTACTTTCATTTAACAAAGAGGTCGTTCATTATCAATATATTTTGTTGTGTGCTATTATTGGTAGACTTCGCCGTTTGGATCAGTGCAATACACAATGTTTTAGTTTAGTATCACTTTCACGTTTGTATATTTTAGTTTGTATCTCACTTGTAGATCATGTTTACTGTTTAGACCTGTATGCCTGCTTTCGCACATATTTCTTGACACATACTAATTTATCATATATATACTGACATTACAGACATTACAAATCAATCTATTTTTTTTAATACGTTGTCCCACACTAAGGTTTTCTCCTGTGTCGTGGGTGCGTTTACAAACATACAAGTTTACATACACATGACACTGTCCGTTTCTGGCTCGGAACAACAACCTGTGGATCACACAAAGAGTTGTTCCGTGCGGGAACCGAACCCGCGACACGTTGCGCGGCAGCCAGTTGCCCAACCGTGCAGTCACTCTACAACATATTCTATTTTACACGTTTTTGTATGTTCATTCTAGTTTGTCAAGTATTGCAATATTTTATTTAAATACGTCTTTGTTTTATATATATAGATTTATTAATATTATTAACTCTCTTATCTACACTATGATAGTCAGTAGCAGATCAACAGTTCGTATTCCGTAGACATTGGTATTATATTCCGAATTTTAAAATTTAAATAAATAATTAAATATTAATCCATATTACCAATAGTGCTAGGTTCTTTTGTGCCTAGAATGAAGTTCAGTAAGATAGATGAAACACAGTAGGTAGACTTTGAGGTACGGGATGGCTACGGGTAACTTACAATGACGACTGTTGCTAAGAAGAAGCAAACAGGTTGCCATTAAGTGCCACTCGTATCTTAAAACCTACCTTAAATATAGAACAACACACATTTTATCGATAATACATATTCCAATAGTAGCGTACACGTTTTAAATTCTACATTACACAGAAAAAATATTTCACAAACAATTCCAGTGGTAATTTTAGTGTAGATAAAGTTAACAGTACGATAAATAATATCTAAAAAGTACGCGTTTTGTTTCCATTGGCCAGTTTTAATCCTGAACCATCAAAATATCAAAATATCGACATAGTGATGTAAATTTAGATAGGCTTACATTGTTTTGCTAACGTAGCTGTAATTGAGGTTAACAGTCACGCAGTACTTGCTGTTTGCCGCGTAGACACTCTATTGCGGCTTGTCTGCTCCGCTCATGCGCGGTAAAATTGCATCGGTACGATTGTGATAACATTATGAATTGACTTGTTTGAGGTAGGGCACACGATCATCGTGTCAGATTTGTTCGCATCATTCGTTTGTTCCGCACTGTGCGGCAGACTTAAGCTGGAACTTGGGTCTTGTCGCAGTAATTGATTGGGCAAGTCCCACTAGTTAGGCTGTGGTTAGCATTGACTTCGTCCAGAAAAGAATCTATTTTCAAATTGTTCGCTGATGTGCTAAATAAAATTGAAAGGCCTCAGCAGCTAGCCTGGCATACAACTTAGCGTTTTCGAGGCTGTAGCCAACTCGCACTAGGTTGGTATGCTTGATCGTTCGTCACCTGGCGAAAAGTGCGAATTTCACTTTGTACTCGATGTCTGTTGCTGATACGTAATGTAAGCGACGATTGCCTTTTTAACCTTAGTTAGGGAAGCTAGTCTCCGGTGATTCGGTAGTACGAGTGTGTAGAAATGTCCAACGTCTATCCATCTTATAAGTTTTACAGTGACCACGCATGTGCGGTTTTAAGGTGGTCTCTTACAA